AGAGGAGCTGTAACCTGATGCACATTACATAGATGTTCACCAGAGTCTCCCTCTCACCACAGAAAGAACTGGCATCAGAAGGGTTGGTGAACCATACCAGGTACACACCTGTGCTTGTGTCTCCATGGAGGAGCCACCAACTGATATCCCCAGTGGGACGTGGAACCAGAGTGGAGTACAGTGGAAATACAAAGCCTCTGCCTTCAAGATGCCTACAATCTAAAGATGCACGATAGTTCTCACTGGAGAAACTCAAGAATATCCATTTATCAGGAAGATTATAAGAAGTACAGAATCAGTCCTGCCACTATGCCAGGGTATGTGATCTGGGCTATCCTTTGGACAGATTAATTGGGTAGCTACCCCAAGCACATGAGGCACTGTGAAATAAGGCACAAAATGGGGAATGGAGACAAAGGGATCAATCTATGAAGAATCTTTGAGGAGTATTCCCTTCCCTCCCCTCCCCGCAAGCTTGTTGGATGTAAATCATCTCTTTGGCAGAAATCCAAAAGCTTTGCAAAAGAAGCTCATAGATGAAGAACCACCATACTCAGAGTGTCTGATCCAATGTGTACTGAAGTCAGTGGGCTTTTGATTGAATCCTAAATCAGCTACATAATTCTCACAAACATTTCCAGATGTAAAAAGTTACATTGACATGCACAGAAGCCCTGCCACTGCTTTCTCTTTTTTTGGTAAGCCTGGTTCTAAATAACATTGCTCCAACCAGAGCTGAACAAAGGGATTCAGTGTTCATCGAGAATCATTTAGCTTAAGGCAGGAAGGGACCACCAGATCATTTAGTCTGACCTCCTGTATATCACAGGCCATCAACACCACCCAGCACCTACGCATCAACCCAGCACCTGAAATTAAACCAAAGTATTACAGCCCAGAGGACACTAGAATGTTGTGTGCCATTGGTAAAGAATAAAAGGGACCAAGGTGCATTAGTGCCTGAAGTCTCCAGCAACGGCAGGGAAATTATTAAGTGAGATATACCCAGATAATCCTGTCAAGTGACCTGCTCCCACATGATCCAGAGGAAGGCAAGAAAAACCCAAAGTCACTGCCAACCTGGGAATTCCTTCCCAGCCCCACATATGACGATCAGTTAGACCCTAAGCATGTGAGCAAGAACCAGCCAGGCAAGCACCTGAGAGAGAGGATGCTCCGTGACACTTCAAAGCACCCTGTCCAGTCTCCCGTCACCAGTAATAGCCATCTCTGGTACGTCAAAAGAAGGAGACAAAACACGCAAATACACACACACACTCAGACCACATCGGAATACACAGGGGGAGAGGGGAGAGTAAAAAAATTCCCTTTCTGATCCTACCAGGTGACCAGCTGAAACCCTCAAGCATGAGCTTATGGGAACATAAAACATAAACCAGAAATGAGCCCGGGGGCTGCTGAGTCTTACCCCCTATCATCACAAGTTGCACTCATAAGTTTGTCCAGCTCTTTCCTAAAACTAATTACGTTGTTTGCCCCCACAATTCCTATTGGGAAGCGGCTTCAGAACCTCACTCCTCTGATGGTTAGAAATCTTCTAATTTCCAGCCTGAATTTATTCCTGGCCAGTTTATTTGTTCTGGCACCAACATTGTTCTTTAGTTTAAATAGCTCCTCACCCTCCCTGGTGTATTTATAGAAAGCAACCATATCCCTTTCACTCTTCTTTTTGCTAGGCTAAACAAGCAAAGCTATTCCAGTCTCCTCTCATAAGATAAGCCGTCCATTCCCCTGATCATCCTACCTAGTAGTTCTTCTCAACACCTGTTCGTTTGAATTCATCTTTCTTGAAGATGAGTGATGACAATTGTACACAGTATTCCAAATGAGGTTTTACCAGTGCCTTGTACAATGGCATTAATACTTCTGTCTCTACTGGAAATGCCTTGCCTGATGCAACTGTGATACATGGATGTCTTTTTTACAGCCTCATCACACTGGTGGTGGCTCATAGTTGACCTGTAAGCAACCCACAGACCCAGGTCCCTCTCCTCCTCTGTCACTTCCAACTGATGAGACCCCAGCTTGTAGAAGAAATTCTTCTAGACCTAAGTGCATGATCTTGCACTTTGTGCTAGTGAATTTCATCCCTTACTGGCACTCCAGTGTTTAAGGTCATTCAAATCTTCCTGTATAATATTCCGATCCTCCTCTGTATTGATGATGCCTCCCAACTTTGCATCATCAGCAAATTTCATTAGCACACTCCTACTTTTTGTGCCAAGTTCATTCTAAACAGAAGTAAGAATAAAAATTAAGGCAAAGATTTAGGAACATAGGAATTGCCATGCTGGATCAGACCTCAAGTCCATCTAAACCACTATCCTGTCTCAGACGGATGGTGGAATATATGCCTACATTAGCCACCTACAGCCATATTTAAAGTACCTAAACACATAGCCTAATTTCCAAAGTGCTGAACACCTAACAGTTCCTGTTGACTTCAATGGAAAGAAACTTAGGGTCTCTGTTTAGTTATCAAGAGAGCCTGGTTAATATACAAATAAAACTTGCTCTTTTATAGTGCTTTCCACCCAAGAATCCCAAAGTGCTTAAACAATATTATTCAATTAAGCTTCTGAACACTCCTGTTAAACAAGTACCTTAAGTAGGAGTATTCTCATTTCACAGATAAGGAAAGGAAAGCACAGAAAAATTAGCTGTCACTCATTTAAGAAAGTCGCTTCTAATCAGTGGCAGAGCTTGGAAGAAAACTCAATAAATCTAAGTCCTATGCTCTAACCACTACACATACACATGCTAATTACACACCTGGGCCTGAGCCATTGATTTCAGGTCCATACATACATAATTACACACCTGCTAGGCAAATTACATGTTTTACAAGTTGGTTTTATTGATTCTCAATTAATTCCAATTTCCTTTGAAAATGATTTTAATTAATTTAAAGAGACACCTAAAATTACTGAGGATAGTGAAGCTGGAAGTTGTGTTTTGTTTTGGCAAGTCTCACCTATTCCTCTGCCCTTTCAATACTTCTGTGCAGATTAAGACTTTCAGATTACTAAAATTCTAAAACCATACAGATGTAGCTTGAGGATTTTACTGATATATGTAAACAAACCCTTCAACAACTTCCTAATGGACTTCTCCTCCTTTGGAAATAAAACAAAGTGAAAATAAAATATGGAATGAGTTGATAACTTCTAATGATTGTAGGCAGGCTTTCAGACAGACCATTTTTTAAAATCACATTTATTCTTCCTGTTGGTCATGATTTGATTTGAAGATTTTATCTAATATAGTTCAATTTTTCTCTTGGAGTATCCTGAGGAGAAAACAATGAAAACTAAATAAAATGGTCTCTCTGTAGAAGTTTGTATGAGGCTGTGCTCTCCCTATTACAATTTTAACTAATTTTTCCTTATGAGTATGTTTACAAAGAGGTTACTCTGTGTCATTGGAGTCACCTTGGGTGCCTAAATCATTTTCTTTTTTGTTAAGAACTCAGCTTTATTTCATTTAAGTGATACTCAAATTACCTTACTCACAAGAGTATTCCTCCTGAAGTCAATGGCACTAACTGACATTCAGATAAATAGGCTTTAGCCCTAAATATATCAGATCATGTAACTATAGTCTAGAAATCATGGGCTCTCAACCTAACAGTCATGACTAGAGTAGTGTGAAGATTTTTGGACAAATCTTTTATTCTCCAAAAATGCATTTTTGGTCAATCCAAAACATTTGATATGAATTTCACAAATAGTTTTGGCAATTGTTTTTTCTTGACTGGCACCATTCACAAAATAGCTAGAGGAGAAAGAGGTGATGGTGGTCCCCATTTATATCTTTTAGCCAGTAGTTGGACATTCAACTAGTACATGGGGGATTCAGGTCCAGATCCCCCCTCTGCCTGACAGAGCAGTGATTTGAACTTGGGTCAGAGAGAGAGAGAGTGCGAAAATGGCTCTGTAGCCTGGTGATTATCACACTCTTCTGGGTGGGAGTCACCCAGTTAAAGTCCCTGCTCCAATGACTATTCAAGTATTTTGTACAAAATGGAACAGCTTCAAAAGAAGAGAGACCTGCCTTAGAATACCCTCTAGCCCTGTGGTTAGGGTACTCTCTTTGGAGGTGGAAGACACAAGTTCAGATTCCTGCTCCATATCAGACAGAGGGGGGAATTTAAACCAGGCATCCCACATCCTGGATGAATGCCCTAACCACTGAGCTAAATAAGGGAGATCCCCACCATCTTCTCTACCCATTTTGTGATTCTAATCCTTTCAAAATGCTCAGAAACAAAATGTTTCAGGTTGAACAATTTTTTTTAACCTGAATTGGACTTTTTTGATTTGCCAAAATTTGTCAGGAATTTTCTGATTCAATTTGTGTCAAATAAAAATAATGGGGTGGGGAAGAGAGACTGCTTGCAAACAGAAAAAAAATCAATTATTTGCCCAGTTCTAGTCATGACTAGACAAGGGGACTGTTACATGGGACAGGAGGCAGGGTTGGAAAAAAATTGTTTTTCTGTTGTAACATGGGGACTGTGATATGGAGGAAATTGAGAAGCACTGATCTAGATGATTCATATAGATTAGAAACCAGAGAGCATTTCCCACCATACATCTAGAGAACTGTCAATCCATTCTCTGAAAACATTGCATAACGGATTCAAGTTTTTCACTTTAGTCAGTGATGCATCTTGATTGCTTTGCTGCTTCAGCCATTTGATTGGACTTAGAATACTGTTTAAACGTCACCAAACTTTGGGCTCTAGAAGGATAATCTTTCTTTCCCCAAATGCAGAGCATGCCAAAGGGTTTTGTTGAAAGGCAGAAAAAATATTGCATATGTACAAGTGACTGTCGCAAGTGAAATACTTAATAGTGAACAAACTCTTTTTGATGTGTCAATTACACTGAAAGGAAAATAATTGTAATAGTTTAAAAAAAATAGCCTTATCAGCCACACAATACAATTTTCATGATGTTTTGTTCAATTTCTTACAGGCAGCTTCAAAAGATGGTACATGATATCAAGAAAAATGAAACTGGAATAATGAGCAAGTTCAAAAAGTAAGTCATAGATGTTGATATAATTGCACCTTGTTTAAAGCTCAGAATATCTAGCATGTTGTATGACCACGTTGAGGGTAGGAGTGCATGTTTCTGGACAGACATATGTTAACAACAGCTTTATTCCAGAGCTGCTCCACGTGCAGGATTGTCATTAATATCAATGGAAGCGGCTGCAGAATCAGGCCCCAAATTATTCTATAGTATAAGCTGCTCGTGGATCAGTTTAAACAATATCTACATATAATGTATCATTGAGGTTGATTCTCCCAGGCAATGTTTGTGTGTCCCCTTTCTCTTTAGGCCTATGTTCAGGCTACCCCCTACAATTTAATTTTAATTTGAACTCCTACCTTCATGCAACTGATCAGCCATAATATTCAAAACTCAATCCTGAACATTCCGTACATATTAAGAAGTTCTAAAAGAAACCCATAACACTAAAACCCTAACCTAAAATTCTTAGTCCAGCAGTAAATTGCAGAATGATTATCATTAAATAATCACAATGTACGCGTAGATAAATCCCAGTGTTTCTTCATGGGTGGTTATATTAATAAGACATCCTTTATTTCCAAAGTCAGACTCATCTTTTAGCACAATAGCTATTAAGCATGCACACTAATTTTGAATACACCATATCTTTCACATGGGATTAACATATGTATGTGACAATCTCATTGATAATCCATGAATCATTTACTATAGGTGTAAGAAAGACGTACACAAGATATATTAAATGAACTTTAAAAAAAAGTTATTTACCAGGTTTTCAGGAAGCATTTGCAATGATAGGACAACAACACACAGAATTACTCAGTATAGTCTATCGATGCAGCTCTCATACACAATGGAAACGTATAAGCACACAGAAAACTGTGCTTAAGTAACAGCAACCATAATGGATACATTCGAGATTGGAAAGTATTATTTTAGTATCTGCTAAGTAGGGAGCGTCCTCTCCTCGTGGGGGAAATGGACTCAGTTTTGTGATAAAGCTCTCCCTCGCTGTGACCTGGTGATACACATGAGAATGAAGCAGGGAAATTCAAAGCTAACCATTACACTTTTTCCTGCACTCACCCTGTTGTAATTAAGAATTGCTGCAGCTTGCAGAAAATCTCATATTCAGATGTTACATAGGATCTATACCTCTTCATTGCCTACACACAGGCACAACAGCACAAGTGAAGGGCTAAACGTCAGTGTTACCTTTGACTGGCACTTCTTTTGTCAGTTGAGTAGAGCCTTCAGTAACTCAAACATACTTTGCCTTTTGGGGGGTTCTAACATGGTGTATGTACAAACTGCAGAGCTCTGGACTGCATGAAACTATAATGAGGAGTCTGCCCTCATGGAGTAGAATCAAAACCTTAGCTTTTATAAAGAATAATATCACAGTAGCAGAATTAGAGCAGTTAGACTTAACATCACAGTGGGTCAGCAGCAAATGTCTCAAAGATGAAAGCACATAACAAAAATGAGAGAAGGATCTCAGAGTTATAATTTACAGAGACAAATCATTTTACCATAGTTGCTTTCACCTGGAGATGAAATCTGGTTTTTAACAGTATGGCTTTGAGGATGTGCCCCCTCTTTAAGAATAAGAAGAAGGGGGAAAATAATAGGATCTAAATGTACTTACAAGCTGGAAGGGTGCGAGGTGCAGCCTGAATCAGATAGATACAAAATGGCCATTATAGGGCTGCAGCTCTCAATGCTCCCAGATTTAAAGAGCCAGCTACCAGAAAAGCAGGCTGGAGAAGGAGTCTATTAAAGGGTGAACCCAGCATAGAGCTCAGTAGTAACCACGAAAATATGAAATAAGCAGCTTCCTAAAGGGGGGGTGGAATTCTATTTCTCAGGGAGTAGGGAAGTATTGCCAGCAACAAATATTCAAAATCACAAGTCTAGCTTCCAACAATCATGTGAGTGCTTTAAAATAATATGTTTTTAAATTGCCTTTGGGCTGCACTGGGATCGCATTTTTGTGCTTTTCTCTGAAACCCTGAGGGCTAGAACTTGTTGGGGGGTTTTAAAGCTGAGATTCTCATATTCACATGGAGCTAGGGCTTCAAGAAAAACACCAAATATCATTAGATGATAAAATTGCAGAAGTTAGCAATAATAGTAGGAATAGAAGATTCCAAGATTCAGAGACAGAACCTGGTGGCAATGAGTTAATGTATCATTATGTTTTTAGACTATATCGTTGCAGTCCCTTCCAACCCTATGATTCTTTCTGTGGACTGTGGATACTATTGGGCAAATCCTATTCAGCAAGGGACTAGTTGCATACTATTGGGTAAATCCTGGCCCCATGGGATTCAATAGCAAAACTCCCATTGACTTCAACAAAGTCAAAATTTCACCCTTAAAGATTTGCGGATGCTTAAGTGGCTTGCTGAGGCAGGGTGTAGGAGCTCAGGACACTCAGCACATTGCAGGATCAAGCCTTAGATGAAGTATCAAATGAACTGTCTCTACATCAAAAAAGTTTTTCCAAAATTTCCTGGGGACATCAGTGACACTTCATTGACAAAGCCAGCAGCAGTAAGTGAAATAAAGAGGCTGCCTGTAACCAGAATCTGTCCATTCCTTGTGCCATTTGTGTGACATTTGTGCCGCCATGGTCAGCTACTGAGATGACACAGCACCTGAGATCCTGCATGCCTCACACAAGCAAAACATCCATAGACTTCAGGTCTCTCCTGCTCCATAACTCTGTAGCACTTACTGTGCCCCCTGTTTTCATACAATCCTGAAGATGGCAGCTGGAACTGTGGTATTTTACACACTATGCACTGAGTATATAATATTGCAAACTAGTCAAGGAAACAAACTGAAGCACATGGAGAAAGAGGTAACAAAACAGAAACAGTATAATCATACATGTATCTTAGCTGAACCAAAAGGAAACTTGTGTTTCCATTTATGTACCAATGTAATGTGTTTCAGATTTCTTATTATTGATGCTCAAGGCCTTTTGTTAATAAATGGGACAGTCCATTAAAGTCAAAAGTATTATACCGTGTAGCCATAAACATTACAGTACCACTGTTTTGTTCAAAGAAAATATGTAAAACCATATTAAGAACATTAATAACACTCATGGGCAGCTTCATAAATATTTTAAAGAGTTTCTTTATCACCCGACTCTTCCAAAGCAGCAACAAAACATTCCACTCTATCATGAGATTCCAATTTGGGATCAGTTTGTTATCAATCAGTTTAACGGCACTAGTTCAGAGTTTTGACAAAGTTTTGACAGGTTCAATGCATTTATTTTTTAATAATAGTTGTATTTACGTAGTGCACCCAGGGCACTGCACAACAATAAAAACAGTAAAAACATAACATCAGCTAAAGAAAGCATATAATAAAAAAACGCCCTGTTAGCAAAAATGGACCAGAAGAAAAGGACACATCCTGTATGAAAGGGCCAACAGTAATAAAATTAAAGAACATTTTTGAAAACAAAAATTGTTCAGCTATTTCTTAAAAGCTGGGAGAGGTGGGCTGAAATGCCGGGTATAGAGGAGTGAGTGCCAGTCTCCAGCACAAGTGGTGGAATCTCTAAAAACAAGTTTTCTAGGAACACAGCATCAGGACAAGGCTTAGCGTTCAGTCCTGCAGTTCATTAAACACCCTGTCCACCATCCCGCAAAGACTTACACACCTCTTCAACTTCAAGTAACTGAGTAGTACCTCTGATGTCAGTGGGTGTATTCCTATGCCTAAAGTTAGGCACATGCCAAAGGGCTTTGCTGCATCAGCCTCAGAGTGCTCAGCACATTGCAGAGAGGAAGATTCAGACCATGGTACTTTTAAAAATTGAAGTCATTCATTCACTTAACTGCCTGCTAGCTGCTATCTAGTGTATGGTGTGCAAAGCTACTACAGCAGTGCTGGTCTCATATTAAATGAAATGCCTCAAATACCAGCTGATTACTTATTGAAGCTAATGATGCAGAAAGATGTGTTATGTTATTTTTAAACAGCTGTAAATATTCTCAAAAACCTGTTTGGATTTATTTTTATTTTGGATGAGTCTTGTAGAATTGAAAATTATATCCCAGCTATGGAATTCTGTAGGATGTTTCACAAACCTCCACAAAGGATATCTCATTCTCTAATAAACTTATGGGTGAAAGTCTGGCCCCACTGCAGTCAATGGGAGCTTTGCCACTGACTTCAGGGTGGTCAGAATTTCAGCCTGTATATTTTAGAGTGGGTAATTTCTGTAAATTCCCATTCAGGTCTATAGGACTTTTCCAGAAGGATTAACTCACAAGTCTATCAAATTTAACTTAAATACAGAACAGAATATATTTAGAGCACTTTCAAAGTGATTGAAATTCTTACCACCATGATTTCTTTTGGAATCACTTCTGATGTAATTGCCTAGTTTGCAGATAAAAGATATGCTGAAAAACAACTATAATCTCTCCCTTGAACAACATGCACTTAGATAGGACTTGATCCTCTTCTACTGAAGTCATTTGGAGTTTTGCTATTAACTTCAACAGGAGCAGGATCATGCCGTTTGCCATTGCTTACAAAAACAGCCCTAAAGAGTAAAAGTATTATAAGTGTACATATTTATTATTTCATCAGCATGTACAGTAACTAGACAGTAAGCTCCCAGAAACAGGGATCTTGTCATTCGTGTTTGCATATTGCAGAAATAGTGGGTGAAATCATGGCCTCATTCCAGTCAATGGCAAAATTCCCACTGACGTCAATGGGACCAGGATTCCACAGTGTTGACACTCACTAAATAATATTAATACGGTGCAGTATCTTTTCTGTGGGTTTGTGTTTGAATTTTAGAATAACTAACATATTTGAAGAGACTAACAAATACAGATGTGGCCATAAATTGTTTCATTTCTGTGACAGAAACCATTTCTTTTCTATTGCTATTTAGGTTCCAAAATGAACAAGTGGCCTTAATTTGCAAAACTGGGAAAAATACTTGGGATCGGTATGCTATTTCAGAACCACACAAGGCATGATAGATGGCTCAGATACAGAGCTCTTCTGTGCTTCACATGCTTTTGTTGTAACATATTTACATATTCTGCCAGGGCCACAGCCAGGATTTACAGATTCTTGGTCAAAATACTGAAGCAAGCCCTCCCAATTTATGATCCGAACACCTACAATATGGACCAAGCCACACATCCCTCTCCGTCAGAAGGGTCCTTATTGGCTTCTCCACCCTCTTCCTTTGTCTCTGGTGTCCTTGTGCACCTCAGCACAAATCCAGCACAGAGCACCCTGCTGGATTTGGGGCCAGCCTCTCCATCAAATCTAGACTTGGGACAAAGCAGCAGCCATTTCCCCTGGCAGTGGCCCTGGTTTCTCCTTTTTAACATGCCTGTGCTAACCTGGATGAGATATAGGAATAATGCTGTTAAGAATGCTTAATAACATACTACCTGCAGGGTAAGTTATACCCATATTGTTGGGCACTAGTAACCATTCAGCAAGGAAGAACTACCTATACCTTCTTCTGTGACACTACTAATCAAGAGAGCTGGGCAACCTCTGTGAAAAATGTTCCATGGATATTTTCTTGAGCTTGGTAACGAATTTATTTTGGCCATACCTTCACCATGCATACATGTACTTTCTACAACTGTATGAGCAGTAGAGTTTCACTGGCACTAACTAGGGTAGAAATCATTCGCAGAAACCAAATCTTTACATTTGTACATCTGGGTATTCAGTCAGATGCACTGACCCAATCAGGGAACAGAAACAACATTTAGCTGTGGGTCTTAGCTGAACAGTCACAAGTAAGCAGCGTGTCCAAGTCTTGAATATTGAGTGTCAAATTATTGCAGCAAACTGTTAAAAAAACAAAACTGGGGAAAAAATGAGAGAATAAATTGAAGGAAATCACAATGGCTCAGAAACCTTCAAGAGCACAAGAAAAAGTTACAGTCACTGTGGACATTATTCCTGGTGAATTATACACTCAGCTCTGCAAACAACATCCCCAGAAGCACTTCTTTTGGGACCTGATTGAAAGCCCACTGGAGTCAATGGAAGTCTCTCCATTGTCTTGGGCACTGGCTCGGGCCCGGGGTGCGGTCTCATCAGTGCTAAGGAAAAATTGTTGGATTATATATGTAACCCTTCTGCCCATCAGAGTTGGCAGCAACAAGGGCCAGGTTCAGTATCTAGGGGTTCCATTTCAATAACACAATGCAAAACCAGCTCGAGCCCCCACCCTGTGACCTGGGACAATTACATACCACCCCCCTGGGCGTCTCTAAGAGGCAATACTTCCCATCTAGAAAGCACAGAGTCTGAGTGTAGCAAAAGCCTTTTAATAAAGGAAGGAAACACTGCACCATTATGTTGGGGAAACACCACAAACAGGATTCATAACACAAACCATGAGCAAAAGACCCACCCCCAAGTAAGTTTGGCAGTGTCCTTTTCCCCTCAGAGTCTTAAGTCCAGCAACCCAACAGTCACCCCGCCCCACACACACACACAGTTTCTGACCTTGGTCAGTGCAGCCCCCAGAGTTCAGAAGTTCATCTGCAGAGTTTACCTCCCAGCCTGAGTGGAAGTGGAGGGTGGTATGGGGGGCACCTTACATGCTCCGCTGCTCGGGTCGATGGCTGAGTGATCTGCCAAGTACAGTTCTACTGTCCTTGATTCACATAACTAGGATAACAACTCTTTATTACTCCTACCCCAATAACAAAGAGACTGGGGATCCCACAGCAGCCAAAGTGACCATTTGGGCAAGCAGTCCATCATGTTAGGCAGGGTGGGTGTGCCCATGCAAACGAGATCAGCCCCTGAAGTCCTTTTTCACAGCTCACCACCAGATGTCTGGGTAGAGCTCATTTTGACTCTGCTTACATATATTAAGAATTATTATAAAAGGACATTTTAATGCAAATTGTATTAATGCTTTATATTAATCCAAAAAGCAAAACATTACTAGCTTCAGATACTTCCACTCAAGCATGTAATAGCCCAGATGCACCATTGGATCTGGCTTGAATAACTTCACAGAAATGTGCCTCTCTTCTTATGAGGTAATGTCAGATCATTAATGGAATAATAAATAGATCACTACACTAAGCTCCTGGGGGTGCTCTCCCAGGGCTTACAATTAAACAAACAGGAACCTGCATGATTTTAAATTCTAGGTATAGCATAGCACAGTTGAAAATGAAGAGAAGCCTATGAAGAATGTTTCAATCTTTCTCTAAATAATATTTTGGTTCACTCAATATTACAGAACCAAAGCTATTCAAATTGTATTGCCTTATGAAAAATAATTGGTGTGAGACTTTCTGTGTTAGTACTTCCATTATTGTACCAAACATGCATACCTCATACATGTGACAGATGCAAAGGTTGAGACCCCAGATCTGATCTGATACCAGCATAAATCAGTAACCCCATTGACTTCAGGAGCAATACATGTACAAAATCATTGTAAGTGAGATCAGAATCTGGCTGAGAGACAGCCTGGGAAAACTTTTAAGCCTCAATTGGAATTTAAAGTGAATGCAAATCTAAAGTTGTAAATTAGAACCAGAGAGCACTGTACTCTTTTATCATCTCACATATAAACCTCTTACTAGGATTTTTGTGAACCTCAATCAGCTTTACTTCTTCAAACAGATATGCACATATCTATAATGTATAATGCTGCCTATAGCTTCTGCTCCTCTATATGTGTGTTTCTTTAAAAAAAAAATTCTTAACAAAAAACTCAGATTGCAGTCTATATTCTTGGCTGTTTCCAAAAAGTACTCTCTTTTCAGAATATTTGCCTGCAGCAATTGGCTGAATATCTGTGACAATGACCTGTGTCTTCAGTTGCAGATATCTTTTGTCATCAGCTTTTTTTGTGCATCTGGCTAATGCTTGCCTTCCTGCAACTATTACCTATTGGATCATAAATGTAATAATTATTGTTTACAGGCTAAAAAATAAACCCCCACCAAGTGTACCACAAAGGGATTATGCTTCAGGTAAGGATGGCTTAATGGAACGTTAAACTGTATATTTTTTTCTAAGAGTGTTACAACTGCATATTTGCTCACATTTATCTTCTATGCGAGGTGAATCCTAAACCATTACCAATAACTTATAGTCCAATTCTTTCTAGTGCAACTTATAGTGCAAAACTATAGACAGCAAACTGTGGAGAGCTGCCCCAATGGGAAGAACAAATAGTAAGAAGTAGTTGATAGCAAGTGCCCCTGCTAGCTGACTCTCCGAAGCAGCTTTCACCTACTCTATGGGATCCATCTCTAGGCCATTCCCAACCGGGAGAAGGCTCCATATCCAGCCATGCTGGATGGAGAGCCAGTCCAGTTCAGGGCTTATGATGCTTGTGAAGTGAAAGTAAAGAAAGAAACTATGGGCAAAAAGGTCTCCTTCCCACAATAATGGAATCTGATGTTGGTGCTAATATAATGATGGCATCAAACATTATCTTCAAGTGTGAGTGGAGCTATATTTGCTTATTTTACATCTTCACTGCCTGCAATTTTGTTTTACCTTTGTTTTGAAGTGTTAAGAATTGTTTTGTTAAGGAGAAAATAAAGTAAAACAGCAGCAGACTAGGTGGGGAGTGACTGGAAGTTGTCAATCTAAATCGTTCAGTGACTTCCATAGCCAGTTCCAAGTTGACAGGCTTCCACATCCTTAAAACTATCATAATTAATTGGCATCCAATTTGGAACTTTACCAGAGAGGCCAAGAACTGAATTGTCAAGAGGGCTGAACGAGCTCTTCCTCTCTCTTCATTTCCTTTAAAAAAGGGGAGACACGGGCATGGCAGTGTGGGGAAGCTTGCATTGCTACTATTCAGACTGGGAATAAGTAGAGGACTGCGTTGTCCAGCGCATCCATCTGGGACTCTTTCATGAGCACTCTCAATTAATTTCTAAAACCAAATAAGCAACAGAAGCAGAATTCTAATTGCCAATACTGTTCAGCCAAAACCAAGTGTTTCTGGCACAAACTTTCAGGAATTTTGTGTGTGTGTGTGAGAGAGAGAGAGACTGGAATGCAACAGAGCCATTCAATCAGTAGTTAAGATGAATGTTTGTGATCACTATTCTATTCCCTTAAATAACTTAAATGTTTGGTTTAGAACATGCAGAGGATGAAGATGAACAATGGTCTGATGATTTTGTAAGTATATTTTCTTGGGGTCATAAAGCAGTTACTCTTTCAATTAGGACCACACATAATGAAAGTTTAGTTCTGAATCAGATAATTTCAGGCAAATTTACATTTCTACTATTAAAATCCTACTATATTCACAAGGTTGAAAATTTTCAAAAGCAGCCACTGATTTAGGTGCCTCGATTTTTGGGTACCCAGCTTAGAAATACCTGGACCCAACATTCAGAAGCATTGTTAATGGTAGCTGTAGATGATTAGCATCTTGCAAATTTAGGGTTATGGTGTCTCATCTTGAGCACCCAAAAAACGGGGCAACCAAAATTAGTGGCCACTTTTGAAAAAAACACTGGCCTGTTCTTAATTAGAAGATTTACAGATACTTTTAGATTTCACTTATTCATCAGTGTTGTCAAATTTGTGGTTAGTGACTTATTTTTGGCATCGCTTATTTTGACACTGGTAGCACCCACAATGTGTTAGGCATTTTCCAAACACTAGAAAAAACACAGGGTGAAAACTTGCCCCATTGAAGACAATGGCAAAAGTCCCATTGATTTCAATAAGTTCAGGATTTCACCTACAGTTCCTGCCCCCAGAGACCATACAACCTATATAAATTCACTCTCCTCTATTGTAAGATTTGGTCTCCATTTTCTGACATTTCAAATATATTTAATATTTATCCATTTTCCTTTATTCCATGATACTTGAGGTGGACCCTCTACAGAATTCCAGGTCTGAACACCCCTAAATTTGCCTAAATTTGAAGAAAGTTCAGATCCAAACTTTGTAGCTCAGGACAATCTCTAATTCTTTTATGTTTGAGATGCCCAGATTTTCCTTGCATAAAGAGTGTGAAGATTATTCATTAACCCTTAGAAAACTAGCTAATTCCCAGGTAGATGTCACATGGTGAATGGCTATCTTCTTGGGTTTTGGTGGCGAAGCCCTATCAGGTAGGGTAGAGGATGGTAAGGTCTCCTCAGGACTTTAGAGTGAAGCAAATCATGACCCATCCTGCCACAGGGCGAAGAACACTCCTGATTCTATAACTTGCTTCCCTAAAGCATGCTGTTTCCTCCTGATGCTAGTTCCTGACCTCTCCCTGAAGACCAGGAACCAGAACGGGGAGATAGAGGTCACATCATCAGCTGAGGTTGAGACTGGGAAGGGGCTGGCTCCCAGGGCTGGTGGAGAAGCAGAAGTCTGTTGACTCACTGATGTGCGGGGGATGCAGTCCCAGCTTAGCAGAGGGCCTGTGGAGATGAGAGGGAGAAAGCAGAAATAGGAAGTGAGAGGTCTGTGGTGTTCCAGTGGTGATGAGAGGAAAGCATAGGGGTACTGAAAATCAGGGTGTTAGCACTTTGTTAAATCCTTTCTCTCTAGAGCAAAAATATTCTAAATATGTTTTATGATGAAATAGAGTAACACTAATGAAGTTGACCATGTTCATAACTGTCATATGACAAGCAAGTGTTTTTGTAGGTTAGCAAATAATGCAACTGGTGGGATGTTTGAGTGTTACTTCCACGAATGAAACTCCAAGTGTTTTACAAAGTAAGAAATGGGAAGCTGTATGTTTCTAGGACAGCGATTATGAAAATCCAGATGCCCACTCTGATTCAGAGATGTATGTGGTCCCAAGTGAAGAGAACTGTGATGACAGTTATGAGCCCCCTCCAACCGAGCAAGAGAAAAAGAAGATTCCCTCATCATTTTCATTTTCAAGGGGAGAATATGCAGGTACCTATGAAATCTTTGGTTACACAAGCCTGTCAGTCCCTCAGCTATTGATACCAGTGGCACCATGAACAAATTGAAAAACAAGAAAAGAATTTCAAATGGTGTTAATGTGGTGTAAAGCCCGTCCTTTTCTCAGGAGTTAGCCTCAAAAGGAAGAGGGCCTGTTTGTTCCTGACCCCACTTATCAGGGTGCTTACTTTCTGGAAGGATTCATGGATTTGTTGGTGGGTGACACCCCCCACCGCATTGCAGCTGTCTCCCAAGTTTTTGTTAATATATTTTGTAGAAGGCCTACAGGCTTTGTGATGAGCACTTATAAACCGAGTAATAAAACAATATGCATGGGAACCTTGAGGAGAAATTTCACTGAGCACACCTCAGGAATCACCCAGTTAGCCTAATCTGGGGATTGGTTCTTCCCTAGCTGATTTAAGGTCAAGCAGGAAGAACAAAACATTAAAGGACCCCTGTTTTCTATCTTGTTTGTACCCTAACTTGTTAGCCAAGCAAGTGCAAAACAGGGGCCATAACAGTCCTAGAGATCTAAGCCTATGCTGCCCTTAACAATTGGGAGTAGGAAGCAGGTAGCCTTAAAAACAGGACTTGAAGGAGATGACTCTGCTTATATTGCTCCAACAAACAAACCCTTCTCTTCCCTTCAACATTATATTCTGAGCCAAATACTGGTCCCATTGAAGTCATTGGAAGTTTTTATAGTAACTTCAGGTGGACCAAGATTTAGAACATTGGGAAAAGGAATATCAACATAACCATCCCCTCACTGCACACCTCTTCCCCCGTCTCTTTCAGTTTCATTATATGAGGCTCAGGTACTGGACATATAGAAGGCACTCGACTATTACAGTGCCAGACAAGTAGCTGGATAGGTAATAAACACATTATTTGCACACACTTCAAATAATGAGGAATTGTATTACCCAGTTCTTTGTAGGTATTTTGGTGGTACCCCAGAGAAGCTGGCCATATCATCTATTTTAGTCTCACCCACCTTGCTGCATGGGAATTTATATGCCACAGTACTTAAGGACTATAGAACATAATAGATTCTTGTCACCTCCAGTCACAGAACATTCTATATGACTTATGCTATAGGCAGAGTAAAGACGCTCAGTTTGCATAAAGAAAAGGAGTACTTGTGGCACCTTAGAGACTAACCAATTTATTTGAGCATGAGCTTTCGTGAGCTACAGCTCACTTCATCGGATGCATACCGTGGAAACTGCAGCAGACTTTATATACACACAGAGAATATGAAACAATACCTCCTCCCACCCCACTGTCCTGCTGGTAATAGCTTATCTAAAATGATCATCAGGTTGGGCCATTTCCAGCACAAATCCAGGGTTTCTCACCCTCCACCCCCCCACACAAATAAATAGGCTTAAATAGAGACTGGGAGTGGCTAAGTCATTATGCAAGGTAGCCTATTTCCCCTTGTTTTTTCCTACCCCCCCCCCCCAGATGTTCTGGTTTAACTTGGATTTAAACTTGGAGAGTGGTCAGTTTGGATGAGCTATTACCAGCAGGAGAGTGAGTTTGTGTGTGTATGGGGGTGTGAGGGGTGTGAGAAAACCTGGATTTGTGCTGGAAATGGCCCACCTTGATTATCATGCACATTGTAGGGAGAGTGGTCACTTTGGATGAGCTATTACCAGCAGGATAGTGAGTTTGTGTGTGTGGTTTTTGGGAGGGGGGTGAGGGGGTGAGAGAACCTGGATTTGTGCAGGAAATGGCCCAACTTGATTATCATGCACATTGTGTAAAGAGTTGTCACTTTGGATGGGCTATCACCAGCAGGAGAGTGAATTTGTGTGGGGGGGTGGAGGGTGAGAAAACCTGGATTTGTGCAGGAAATAGCCCGACTTGATTATGTAAAGAGTTGTCACTTTGGATGGGCTAGCACCAGCAGGAGAGTGAATTTGTGTGGGGGGGTGGAGGGTAAGAAAACCTGGATTTGTGCTGGAAATGGCCCAACCTGATGATCATTTTAGATAAGCTATTACCAGCAGGACAGTGGGGTGGGAGGAGGTATTGTTTCATATTCTCTGTGTGTATATAAAGTCTGCTGCAGTTTCCACGGTATGCATCCGATGAAGTGAGCTGTAGCTCACGAAAGCTCATGCTCAAATAAATTGGTTAGTCTCTAAGGTGCCACAAGTACTCCTTTTCTTTTTGCGAATACAGACTAACACGGCTGTTACTCTGAAACCTGTCAGTTTGCATAGATATTAAAACAACTGTTTGCAGTTAGTGAGTAATTATGTACTAAACTTATTTCCCCCTTCATTTAAAGACAATCGCACTACCCACCAGGAGCCACTGCCATGCAGGCCAAGTCAGTCTTTAATTAAACCCAAGAAACCATCTAAACCATCTCTGCCATCATCATCTGCCGCTCTGAAACCAAAAATGCTACCCAAGACCAAAGAGTTCAATGAGGATGAGGTAATATTCACAGATACACAAGTCTTTACAGTACAGATGAATTATGCCCCCATAAGTATCACAAACTACATGCTGCACGTGTTTAATATGCTAGCCTTTCACATCTGACTCCTGTGGCTCAAATCATTACGTAGGTCATAAAAATAAATGCATAGTCTCACACTAGTTTCTGGTGGACATTTACCCACATCGTAAATCTGTGGGGCCATTCAGCCCACTTAGCATTCTCTGTTCACCAGAGACAGACTGCTGACAGGTGGGGAAGGAACAGAAATATTGAGCACCGGGGCAGGGCTACAGAGTACTGAGACAGTAAGTGATCGATCAGCTGTGCCACAATTGGAGCTGTTTGGTGAAGGGGAAATGTCCATGGAAAAGCCCAGCCTTATCCAGCCACAGAGGGAGTTTAGATGCCTGAGACAATCATTGGCGTTAGTTCATCTTGTCCATCCCTGCTAAAACAGGCTTGTGCCGTGTGGTGTATTTGACATAATGCACGCTTAGCTTGTAGCTTTTCTCTGCATTTTTCTCAGGATGATTATATCGTGCCTGTAGATGATGACAATAACTACATTGAACCAACGGAAGGCAGTACCTCACCATCTACAAAACGTGAGTGTTAATCTTTTAAGCACATGATAATTTTACTCTAGGGTAAACACCGTGCCACTGGATGTCTGTTGCTAGGGTTCATAGTAGGGCTGTCAAGCTATTAAAAAATTAATCGTGATTAATTGCACTGTTAAATAATAATAGAATACATTTAAATGTTTTTGGATGTTTTCCACATTTTCAAATCTATTGATTTCAATTACAACACAGAATATAAAGTGTACAGTTCTCATTTTATATTTTTGAGTAGAAATGTTTACACTGTAAAAAAAAGAAAGAAATGGTATTTTTCAATTTCCCCATTACAAGTACTGTAGTGCAATCTCTTTATCATGAAAATTGAACTTACAAATGTAGAATTATGTACAAAAAATAACTGCACTCAAAAATAAACCAATGTAAAACTTTAGCGCCTACAAGTCCACTCAGTCCTACTTCTTGTTCAACGAATGGCTCAGACAAACAAGTTTTTTTACATTTGCATGAGATAATGCTGCCTGCTTCTTGTTTACAATGTCACCTGAAAGTTAGACCAAGCGTTTGCATGGCACAGTTGTAGCTGGTGGCACAAGATATTTAGGTGCCAGATGCGCTAAAGATTTGTATGTCCCTTCATGCTTTAAGGGCAGCATTACTACCATTCCAGAGGTCGTGTCCATGCTGATGATGGATTCTGCTAGATAACGATCCAAAGCAGCGAGGACTGTCATGTGTTCATTTTCATCATCTGAGTCAGATGCTACCAGCAGAAGGTTGATTTTCTCTTTTGGTGGTTTGGGTTCTGTAGTTTCCACATCAGAGTGTTTCTCTTTTAAGACTTCTGAAAGCATGCTCCATACCTCGTCCCCCTCAGATTTTGGAAGGCACTTCAGATTCTTAAACCTTGGGTTGAGTGCTGTAGCTATCTTTATAAATGTCACCTTGGTACCATCTTTGAATTTTGTCATATCTGCAGTGAAAGTGTTCTTACAATGAACAACATGTGCTGTGTCATCATCAGAGACTGCTATAACATGAAATATATGGCAGAAGGTGGGTAAAACAGAGCCAGAGACATACAATTCTCCCCCAAGGAGTTCAGTCACAAATTTAATTAATGCTTTTTTTTTTTTTTAACGAGTGCCATCAGCACGGAAACATGTTCTCTGGAATGGTGGCCAAAGCATGAAGTGGTATATGAATGTTTAGCATATCTGGCACGTAAATCTCTTGCAATGCTGGCTACAAAAATGCCATGCAAATGCCTGTTCTCACTTTTAATTAAGAAGTGGGCAGCATTATCTCCCATAAATGTAAACAAACTTGTTTCTCGTAGCAATTGGCTGAACAAGAAGTAGGATTTCGTGGACTTGTAGGCTCTAAAGTTTTACATTTTTTTTGTTTTTGAGTGCAGTTATGTAACAACAACAAAATCTACATTGTAAGTTGTACTTTCATGATAAAGAGATTGCATTACAGTACTTGTATGAGGTGCAGTGAAAAATATTATTTCTTTTATCATTTTTACAGTGCAAATATTTGTAAAAAAAATAATATAAAGTGAGCACTGTATAATTTGTATTCTGTGTTGTAACTGAAATTGATATATTTGAAAATTTAGAAAAACATCCAAAAATATTTAATAAATTTCAGTTCGTATTCTCTGAACAGTGCGATTTAAAACTGCGATTAATCATGATTAATTTTTTGAATTATAATTAATGTTTTGAATTAATTGCATGAGTTAACTGTGATTAATCAACAGCCCTAGTTCATAATGAAGTGGGGAAAGCACTAAAGAGACTGCAGTCAAGTGAGGAGGGGCAGTGTGGGTCCTGTAGCTAGGAAAGTCCAAGGGCAAAAGTTAGGGTTGTCTTTCCCAACTGCCATGTTTGGCTCCTACCTCTCTTTCCATGACCTTTCACAGTCCTGCACCCCTACAACTGAGAATCTTGGCTTGGTTTGGCATGCCTCTCTTCTCATCCAAGAGTACCGCTTCATTAACATTCTCCACATGCTGGGGTGTCCCAGCAGATTTTTAACAAACAAATGTGGGGATTCATTTTTTACCTCAATTGCACCTGGGGGTTTACTTAGCTGTGCTAAAGTGAAAAGTCAGTTGAACAGTATGTGACTCTGCACTTTCACACGGTTGACAATCTTGGATATTTATGGCAAGGTGGAAGCACTGAGAATAAGGTTACTCACACGAGTCAGAGGCTCTTTTTCTGCCACAGATGAATTTCTCAAGGTCTCTTGACTAGCCTTCAGACCTTCTTTGTATTTGTTCTCATTCCATAGACATGACATTTGTATGTTTGTCTCTTTTTTTTATTTGTTTTAAGCTCCTGTAAACAGATCTACCAAACCAACAAAGCCAGTTCTTCCTAGCTCTACCACGTCCTCTCCTGCTCCTGTGTCTCCCTTCATGCTAGGTATGCAAAGTTTATATTGGTGTAAAAGGATCATCTTGTAGACACCCTGTTTTGACAATGGGGTTTGGAAATGCAATAGTATGATTTCTGGATGGAAAAAGTGTTACTATGTTGCACATAATTAGGGATGGCTGAACCAGCTCAGACTTTTGCTTATCCCTGGAAACAGCCAACTACTTGCCATTTGTTTCCTCCAGTGGCAATTGGTGGGGGGGCAGGTGGATAATCTTGCTCCCTATCTATAAAAGTAGGAAGTCTGAAAGCCTGCTACGCCCTCCAATGGCAGGTATTCTTTGGAGTGTGGCCCATGCACCGCAGGTTCATCCTCATGCCTCACTTTCATCTTCAGTGAACAGACAGTCTGTGTCTACACTGCCACTTTCAGCGCTAAAACTTTAGTCATTGAGGGGTGTGAAGAAACACCCCCTGAGCAGGGCTGGCTCTAGGCACCAGCAAAACAAGCAGGTGCTTCGGGCGGCACATTTCTAGGGTTGGCATTCTGGCGCCTGCCACGCTGCCCCTAGAAATGTGCCCCCGCCGCCCCAGCTCGCCTCCGCTCTGCCTCCGCCTGCTCCCCTGAGCGCGCCACCGCTGCTCCGCTCCTCCCCCCCGCCCTCCCAGGCTTGCCGCATGCAAAACAGCTGTTTCACGCGGCAAGCCTGGGAGGAAGGGAGGAGAAGCTGAGTGGCGGCGCGATCGGGGGAGGCGGCAGTGGTGGAGTGGAGGTAAGCTGGGGCCGGGATTGGTTCCTCTACCCACCACCCTCGCTCACCTCCACTCCACCTGCTCCCCTGAACACGCTGACTCTCCCTCGCCTGAGAGGGAGGGGGGAGAAGCGGAGCGGCGGCATGTTCAGGGGAGCAGGCGGAACAGAGGTGAGCTAGGGTGGGAAGAGGTGCGGGGGGGGGGGAGCCACAGGAAGCAATGGGGGAGGGAATGCAGACGCCTGGGGGAGGAGGTGGGGCCGGGGATTTGGGGAAGGGGTTGGAAAGGGGCGGAATTGAGGCAGAGCTGGGGGCAGGGGGGGCGGCCATGAAAAAAAAGCTGGGGCAGCCAAAAATTTTTTTTGCTTGGGGCAGCAAAAATCCTGGCTGGCCCTGCCCCTGAGCAACAAAAATTTTAGCACTGAAAAGCACCAGTACAGCGCTTTATCACCGGCAGCAATGCTCCTGGCGATAATGCTCCTACCACTGCTCATTCGGGGTGGTTATTTTTTAATCGCCAGGAGAGCTCTTCCCTGGTGATAAAGTGTGACTACACTGCCCACATCACAGCGCTGCCATGGCCATGCTGTAACGTGGGCAGCGTAGACATACCCATAGATAGCATTCTGCTTAGGTGGAATGAGACCCAGTAATCCTTCCTACCTGGGTATTCCCACTGATCTTGTTGCTTGGTAATTTAAAAGGAAATTCTGGAGCATTCAAGATCCTTCCCTACATTCCCACAAGCACCACCCATCTACATGCTCGGAGGTTTTCCAATATTAGGGGGCATTCTGGTGCATAAACTCCAGAGTGGTTGCATGGTAGGGTTTTTTGTTTGTTTGTTTTTAAGTTTAAAGCAAGGAGATCAAATCATCCCAGTGTAGGGCTTGCTGGGTCATGTTGCTCCAGAACTGTTGAAGAGGTTGCCCAGTAACCCACTTGATGGTAAATTAGCACAACACTTGATTAGGAGGAGAATGCTGAATAGGACTTGATGATGAAAAGAAAGGAGACCTATCACAGGGGGTAATAAGCCCATGTAGGGAGAAACACAGCTCTTTTGACAGCAAGGTAATTATGTAGTGAGGATAGGTCACAAAGCTGGCAAGGGACTTAAAGAACTTTAGGTTATTTGTATACACACACACACACACACACACACTCCCTCCCTCTCCACACTGAGCCTGACAATTCTGACCTAAACCTCTTGTGACTGTCTCATTGCTACAAATAAAAGTATTATTCTGTAAATGTTTTTCTGTATTCTCCAAGTCCTATTAAAAACCTAGCATTAGCCCAAAGCAATTTACTCAGTGTTTTATTTCAAAGATCCATCTGCTCATCTCTTCTATTGCAAGATATTAAGTTACACTTGATGTGTTCAAAACATAAACCTATCACACATGTCTGTAAAATAGAAGCAAGTTCCCCTTCAGGTATTTCTGGTTTATAACAGCCATTTTCCCTATATTGTGTTTGAAATAGATCCCTGCACTATAAATCTGTTTTAAGAATGAATAAAACTGGAATAAGCCACTCGTCTTGAATTCATTTCTACTTTTTATTATTTTGCTTTAGTAAAAGTTAGACTTCAAATGGATCAATATAAGCTAAAAACACTTACCGGAACCAATAAATCATTGATCAATTATCTCATTTCAGTATAGGATGCCAAGATGAGTTTTTAAAATATTGAATCAAGACTCAGTCTTACTGAGATTATGTGGATTCTGATAGCTTTGTATATGCTTCTCTTGTTGTCACGTACTGTAAAAGGAAGTTTATTTGGAAAGAGAACATAAGGACAAAAGCAAAAAAATGGTGGGATATTTTCTTCTGTAATTGCAAACATGTGTTTAATCCTCTTTAGCTAAGTAGTGCCAGTTGTATGCTGTATTGCTTCCTAGCCATGGCATTAATTGCCCAGAATGTAACCTTTACAAACTAGTTACACAATTCTTACCAAGCATTACGCATATTCATTTTCATTAGGAATTTGTTTAACTTCCAAGCCATAGTTACAAAAGTTCTCTCTGATTTGCAGTTGTATCACATAATTTTTCAGACATCTTTAAACCCCTTTTCAGTGTTGTGATTTCCTGTTAATCACAGTTTCTAAGCAACAATTTTCTTGATGGATTTTAAACAAATAAAACAGCTCCCTCTAGTGGGTATTAGAGTACTTGCCAGATTACAGTTCTGACTTTGCTAAAGTTAAAATATAATACAACCTTGCTTCACTACACTCGGTGAAGCTGGATTTAGATTATGGCATTAATTATTTTAATGTTTTTTTTAATATTCATGATTTACAATCTGTTGTTATTTTTGTGAGCAAGTAAAACCCCTGCAATAATGAACAGGAGCTCAGAGCTAATAGTGTGGCGATATAAAGGACTCAGACCAGTGGTTTACAGTTCATTAGGTCCCTTCTTCACCAAGGTTAGAGGAAGGTTTAAAGGTCATCCAAGTGTGATAACATTAAAAACTGTTCCTAGTTCAGGTTCTTTTCTTGCCTTTTGCACTAAGAATGGTACAAAAATAAAGGTTATTTGGGTGCAATGTAATTCCTGTAATTGTTGACTGTGAATATGGATTTTTGTCCTTTTCATCGTAAGTTTACAGTTAAAAAGGAGTAAGGCACAGTTTATTATGAATAAGACAAGAAGAATCAGTCCCTAAGTGAGAGCATTCACATGTCCTAAAATTATCTTTTCCCCAGAAGAATATTATTTTCTCTTTAAAAGCAGAACTTTGATGTAAATTCCAAACTGTATTTCTGTCAAAAGAGACCTGTGATTCTCTTTTTTAACTACAGAATATTTTTTTTCCCCGTTCAGACGTCTATGAGGTTCCTGAAGAAGAGGTAAGACCTTACATACATTTTATGGGTCATACTTCCTGCATTATACATGCATGCTGCAACTTGAAAGCACTGTATCCTGTGGTGCAAAATCATTCAGAATAAATGAGAGAGTAAACCATTGTATCAACTCTTTAATAGAGAGAAAATTGGAACAAACCTATGCCACTGAGAATGGTGCCCCATTCCCCTGGTAACTTCATAACTCCATCTCCCTCCACCAAATGGCAGTGAAAACTTGTTCTACTTACTACAAATTGTTAGGTGGGGTAAGGCTTCCAGCTCTGCTTAATGTGATCCAGCCTTAGAAGCATAGACCTAAGGGACCATTTTCTAGAAGTGATGCCCCACCAAAGGAAACATGAACTGTTTTGACATGATAATTTTCTTCCCACCTCCCAGTACTGACATGACATATAACTTAGTATCATGCTTGGGGTTACACTGATATAGCAGTGGTCATTTTCTGGCTACCCCATCTTTACGCATATTCCCAATAGTCAGTGTTTTGTTGGAGATACATGCTCCAATAAATAAGATATCACAAAGGCAGCTTAAAATCCTATATTAGAACAAATGAATTTTATTAAATACAGATATGACCAAGTTATTAACAGTGCATTTTCTCTTAAAGGAAGAGCCATCACCACCAACAAGCAGGTAATTCATTACCATGAAATTCTGTACATTATTAAAAGTTTCTTATACCTTGTCAAGAAATATACTTTGATAACATGTGAGCATTGTCTAAATATATAGATATTTAATACCTATGTATCTCAATAGAAGAGGTACCGGATTAATAAAATATTGTAATATTTCTTGATGAACTTTCAGAATGAGAACACACAATACATACACTCAAATACATTGTGTTGTCTAGGATTACAGACTTTTGCCTTTTTAATTCAGTATTTTTTGTATAATGTTTCTAACTTCACTTGTGTTGTCTTATTAGGATCACTAAACCTCTTCCTCCCAAGCCTGTTCAGAGTACAGGAGGACGTTCCCACTTGCTCAACTCAGCCAAAGAATCCTCTAAACCAGACACTTCTAGGTTAGTTAAAAGCAGCTTTCGTTTCCTCAAGCGTGGAGCAAACACTGGAGGAAGCAGATTCTTCACCACACCTCAGCATGCCTAGCTATTGCATGGCCTTCAGCCAATGAATTATTATTAGGCCATATGTACGAACTACCTAGGCATGAGGGGGTGAGTTAAGAATGAAATTTCTCAATTAACTCTCAGTATCCTGGCTTTAATGGATTTGCTAGAGGTGTAATACTTCCTTAATGTATTTTTTGCTGTTTAACATAACATGAATCAGGAGATTGCAATAGCTGATTCCTGCCAACACAAATGATTTGAGGAGTAGACGAGGTTAGGATGCTTATTACCAAACCCATATACCCATTTTGAAAAGAAGTGTTAGAGCAAGATAGAGGGGCAGCCCTGTCCTCCCCCTTACCAAGGCATGGAGGTTCAGGACAGTGGTAGAACAAATGAAATTCCACCCAGTGGAGTGGGGACACAATTCTGGGACCCAGTGATGGAAGTGAGAACCCCTGCATGCCAGAGCCAAGCTCCACAAGGGCTCTCTGTGCCCAAGCAAATATGGAGTTTTTAGGTTGGGTGTGATTAAGGGGTAGGGCAAGGCTGGTGGACCCATGAGTACATGACCCCCACCCATGGATCAGGTGCATAGGAACAAAGCTAGCTCTTGCTATAATCTGTTCCTTCCATGTGTCCCCAGGAACATACAGTGCCTGTAAGGGAGTGTGGAGGGGCCAGAAGGAGACAGGGTCTCATCCCCACACATGCCCTACAGAGTAAGTTGGGTGAACCAGGAAAAAGCAGGCTGCCCTCACCCCGTGCATAAGAGGGAGCATGGGGAGTGAAGGTGCAGAGCTGCACCTGGCCTCCCCCTGGGATAGCACGGCTCCACCCAGTCTCCAACTCAGGGCTGTGTGTTAAGGCACAACCTTACCCGGAGCAAACTGCAGCAGAACATAGTTATAACTAACAACCTATTTACTAAGGAATACTATGTATCTTAAAACTTAAGAGAACTACCACCTTTGGGCTCAGCAATTTTCAATGAAATCAGAAAAATATTTACCATTTAAATCATGTTGTGTGTTTTCCAGAAATATTCTTCCTCTTCCCAGAAACCATCCTCAGCAAAAAGCAGTGAGTAGCTAAACACCATTAGAAAAGAATGCATTTAAATGGTGAAGGGCAGTGCTGGTATCTGAATTATATACTGCTATTTGTTGTTATCTGTATTACAGAGACAGTATAGAATTGTGGATTACTCTGGAATGTAAACAGATCCAAAGCATCAAAAAGCTACAGACTCATGCCATAATATTATAATTGTGGAATTAAAACTCCAAATGTATCCTTCGTATTCAAAATATTAACATGATTTCTTACAAGTCATGATGGTATGAAAGGAATAGCGGATATATACAACCAAGACGCTGACACTTTTATATCCATGAGTAAGCCCTGTTGAACTGAGTAGATGTGTTTGCGTGAGAGAGAAAATGAACCCTATTTCTGTATTTTCCACCCTTTTGGGTCTAATATCTCCCATATATTGATGGAGAATACATTCATAATCCCCATTAAATCCCCAGTCTACAAATAAAGCCTTTTCAATGGAAAAATTCCAGTGCCCGACCCATGACCTTGATTTTCAAAAGTGACTAGTGATTTTGGGTGCCCAACTTGAAGCACCTTCAAGGATCCTGATTTTCAGAGGGTGGATGATTAACGCTTTCTGAAAATCAGGCCTCTTTATATTATAAAAATGATAAAAAAAGATAGTTCAATCTACAAGTTGAAGCATGCAGGGGCAAATGAATGTTTAGCATATCTGGCATGTGACTACCTTGCAACACCAGCTACAAGAGTGCCATGTGAATGCCAGTTCTCACTTTCAGGTGACACTGTAATTAAGAAGCGGGCAGCATTATCTCCCATATATGTGAACAAACTTGTTTGCCTTAGCGATTGGCTGAAGAAGAAGTAGGACTGAATGGACTTGTAGGCGCTGAAGTTTTACATTGCTCTCCAAAACAACACAGTTACATGAAAAAAAAAATCTACATTTATAAGTTGCCCTTTCATGATAAAGAGATTGCACTACAGTACTTATATCAGGTGAATTGAAAAAATACTATTTCTTTTGTTTATTTTTTACAGTGCAAATATTTGTAATAAAAATAAAATAAAATGAGCATTGTACACTTTGTATTCTGTTTCAGAGTAGCAGCCATGTTAATCTGTATCAGCAAAAACAACATCTGATGAAGTGGGTTTTAGCCCATGAAAGCTTATGTCCAAATAAATTTGTTAGTCTCTCAGGTGCCAAAAGCACTCCTTGTTTTTTTGTATTCTGTATTGTAACTGAAATCAATATATTTGAAAATTTAGAAAAAAACAACCAAAAATATTTATAATATATTTAAATTGGTATTCTATTATTTAACAGTGTGATTAATCACAACTTTTTTAAAATCTTACATTTAACTGTGATTATTTTTAATCATTTGACAGACTTATAAGTAATTAAGTTATATTTAATCACGAGAATTAATTAAGAGCTAAAAAGTTAAAAATATTAAAAGTTAAAACAATAGTCAGAACAAAGTACTTTTATTTCTATTCTGAATCTTTTTTAAAATGTTGGTCAAATTTAATCAAAAATCAACAAATTTGCATTAAACGTCTTGATTTTGAAGAAATAGGATTTTCTGATGGGGGAAAAGCGTTCCACTGAAAATTTTTCAGCCACCTGTAGGTTTTATACAATCATTTCTGAGGCACAGAATCAGTAGCAGAGGTGGGAACTGACTCCTCATAATCTACTCTAATCATTATGCCAAACACACATTATGGCTCTTATGATAGCAAAAGCCATAACTAAAATTAAGTTGGGACCTTGATTATAACCATATAACCCTCATTTCTCATATGCTCACACCTGCGAGACATTCTTCTTTGGGGTTTAACCTTTTCATGCTTGATGATGAATTTTTTGGAAAAGCATAAACATGATCCTGTCAGTATTTCTGAGTTATTAGAAAATTTAAAAAAAAAAATTTCATGCATGGCACATCTTGGAGTTAGTTGCTCGCAAGAGTTGCTGTGGAGGAGGGAACTAAGTGTTCAAGACCCCTAAAAGTCACCTCTGTTTACAAGAAAGGAAAAGAAAGATTAAATGAATCTCCTGCCCACTGCTAAAGTCCTCAACTGTGTTTTGGGAGACAGAAACCCAGTACATTTCCTTGTTGTCAAGTGCCCCAACAGTCCTCCCAGATGTCAAAGCCTCTGACTGCTTCTAAAATGTAGTGTTTTCAATGAAAAAATAACTATAGCACACTGAAAATTTGGGCACAGATAAAAAACACAGTTGATGCTCTACTGATTGTATTAGTGAATTTTTTGTTCCCTGGTCTGGCATGCTATGTGAACCAGGGCATTTTACTGCTGAATTTAGCTCCAGTTTACTATGGAGTACTTGGAGCTTGAGGATCATTAACATCTACCATGCTGGGGTGTTAAGAATGAATTAATTGTTTGTTAAGTGATTTCAAAATAGCTGGATGAAATGTACTAGAGAGGCTTAATATAATATACACTCTATACAAACATTTTAGACATTGTTGCAATTCTATATGGTCCATACCAGAACATTTTAGTCCATTCCCCATAGATTCTACTTACATATTTATCTTTTTTACAATTGTTGCATTGTAAGTGTGAGCTGACAAATACTGTGTCTTTCAATTTCAGAAGCACGAAAGAAATGAAGCACATAATGATGAAAGTAAGTATTTTGCACTGAAGACATGGGGATTGCTAGAAAGATTTTTGGTCAATATATTATTGACTACCTCAAATGCAGTAGTACGTTCCTTTAAGTTTAAACTGCAACCATCAGTGTTAAGAAAGGGAGTTTAATGAACAGCTAAAGAGCTTAGTTAATGTGAAGACAAGTCAGGAAACAACTTGCTTTAGACTTGAGTTGTTGTTTTTGTACTCAGTGTAAACCAGGAGTTCTCAACCTGCTATAAAAAGTCCATAACCCACCTGTGCCACAGTAACTGGTTTTCTGCATATAAAAGCCAGAGCTGGCATTAAGGGGTAGCAAGCGGGGCAATTGCCTGGGGCTCCATGCCACAGGGGCCCCCGCAAAGCTACATTGCTTAGGTTTTGGCTTCAGCCCCTGGTGGTGGTGCTCAGGCTCCCGGGCTTCAGCCCCATGCCAGGGGGCTTTGGCTTTCTGCTCTGGGCCCCAGCGAGCCTAACGCTGGCCCTGCTTGGCAGACTCTCTGAAACCTGCTTGCGGCCCCCTAGGGACTCTAGGGGTCCCTCTGGGCCCCTGGTTAAGAACTGCTGGTGTCGCCTATATACAGAGATGCTCTGTACTGGTAGAAGTAGGGCTTTCACCAATGTGACTTACCCTGGAGAGTTATAGAATTAAGACATACTGTACTGTATTGCATTAAGGGTTTGCACTGATGTAGCTACACCAATGCAAATTTCCCAAATCTAGAAAGCTCTTAATCATGAATTCCCCTCCACAGCCATTGATGCCCAGTGTCCCCTTACCACAGTCCTTGATGGCAGCAATGTAGTGGAAGCGCTCACCACCACCGAGAAGGGGCTGAGGGAATCTCTCTCCACTCAGAGTATGAAAATGGAGTGATGCATAATCTTTTCTTCAGGGACTATAAGTGCCACCTAAAAACATTTCAGAATGATTATTAAAAAAAACCCAATGCTCAGATATGTTAAATATTATATACTAAATATGTTGTGTGGGTATTTAGATCACAGCAGCACTGGAGCTCAGGACTTCAAACTTCCCTCTAGTGCAACTCCATCACCATTACCAAGGGCAATGTGAGTAACAAAATATCACTGCTTCTCTTTCATTGTTAATTGCTGGATTTATTAATAACTAAATCCTGCTCTTACTGGAGGCAGCCATCAAAGCAAAAGTTGTCTGTCCATGAACCATGAGTCCAGAGCAAGAGGCATCCTGCCCTGGCAAGAACAAGGTGGGATTGCTGGTTGCAGGCCACTCTACTATTTCTCCAAGCTGGGGCAGTTTGCATACTGGAATTGTTTCCAATTACTATATGCTGCTGCTGACAGAAAACCTTCTGGCCAGCTTGAGACAATCAAATGCTGCAGTGATGAGATCTTCAGCAATACCTGTGCATGTATAAAGTCATGCTCCTTTTCTTACAAACCACCCTCCCACTAGCCATGAGCTGGTTCTTTGCAGGACATAGCTTTCTCACACATCTTGGTATGGTTCCCACCACTACCTTTGAAACCTATATTAAACGCAACACAGCCTCTGTCCCTTTTTCTCTATTACATCAGCCCAAGGAAGGGCAGGATTCAACCCAAAATCCCACCTCTGCCAATAATATTATGAGTAACAGTTAACTATATACTTGATTGTTCAATGCACTGCATGTGTCTTTTAAATAACCACTTACTTTTTCAATCCTCAGAAAGAAGACACCTAATCCAGTAAAACCACCAGTAAGTAGAATTTGTATTTTCATAATGATACTGTACTGTTCCCACCTGTGATTATTAATATGCTTGTAAAACTGAACTTTGTATAAATACAGTTTCCTTAATGGGAAGTAAGGAAAGAATTAAGAGCATTTTTGCCCCTTGATTAATTAACATTAATAGAAGTTACATACAGAATTGGAGAGAGGATGATACACTCAAGAGTCTGTTACCACAAGAATGGCAGAAAATCCTCTGGCCTGCCACAGAGACTATTCTAACCATTAAAAATGTTTTGGGGTCATCATGAAGGCTTTAATATATAAAATATGTGGAAGCAAGAAGGGTGGAAATCATTTATAATAGCATATATGCAATTAAAGGGAGTCACAAGGACTTGGCTATGGAATGTATATTAACTCAGCAGCAAAGGGAAAACACACATGTGCATTCCTGAAAACTAATTTAGATTAAATACACCTGGGGTAGTTTTTTCCCCCCCAGAGAGTTATCAGCATATGAATTCTCTTCCCTAGGAGATAGTGGTAGAATACACATTAGTGGGACTCAAGAAAACAAATAAGAATTATTTGGAACCATGTTCTGCCCTCAGATTGCATCCAGAAATTCCCAGTGATGTGTGTAGGAGTTTCCCCTAGGGAATGAGAATAAAATATCATCCTAGAACAAGAGTCATATCTCAAGGTAAAAACGGGCTTTTATCTTGTCTCCCTTGCTCATAAACAGGTTTGGAATCTTTCCAAGTTTATGTTGCAAAATCTATCTGATCATATTTACACAATCATCCAGCTGAATTCCTTGTATGAGAAGGCAATGCCCTTATTTCCCCAACCAAAACATCCCTGTCAATTTCAAGTGTACATAACAAGTGGAAAAATCTTTTCTTCAAACTAAACACACACACCCTTTTGCCAACACGTCATATTGCTTTTCATGACCATTTACTGTTGCAACATTGCTAAAGAATGGGATACTGTTAAATTAATCCTATTTTAAGCAAGTTCCTATACCTACCAACAACTGGGATTATTAAAACCGGAAAAAAAATTTAAAAAGTTCATTTCCAACTCTCTTATTCTGCACTTAGTTTATATATTTCTTCCAGCTTGGACAATGAACGTTGCAAAATTTAGCTTGCAAATATTACACAGGAGCATTGGTTTAAAAATGTGAACACTATTTTTATAATAAATATATTGTATGGAAACATTTCTATTGCGCTTAAGCTTTTGGAAAACCCTCTTAACAAAAATATAAATTTTGATCCAAAATTTAAGTGGATAGTTCTCTACCACGTTTAAAGGATGCTAAGTCTACATGGTGTAGCATGTTTAAGATGCAAACAGAAAACCAATAACCTCTTAATCTAACTTTTGTATGCTATTATTTTATAATGATTGTTTAGGAGTTCGTGCATGTTTTGAGCTCTATAATATACATGTAATTGTTCTCCACTACAGGTATCGGGGGCTTTTGTATAATACTGAAACAAAGATATTCTATAGCAATGTCTATTTTACAAAATATTAACTGGATGTCATTGAAGTATACAAATGTTTTGATTGACATTTGTTTTATTGTAGAAACCAAGTTTACATCACAAAGAGAATTTAAATGTTACTGAAGGTAAATTATTTCTGTTACACTGAAAAAAGTTCATGTTCACAAGAATTGAACTTTTGCTTTTTAGTGATTTAGAACCTGAATCAGCCCCTGTTACTTGAATTGAGTAACATTTTTCTCTGCAAGCAGTCCCATTGAAATCAGTGGGGCTGTAGGCAGAGTAATAGACTGATCAAAGGGTGAAATTCACACCACAAGAGAGCCATTTGGAGGATGTAAGCGGGCCCCCGGGGCAGAGGAGAATGCCACCGAAAGTGAGTAAGGGTGGAAGAATCTGGCCCTCCTGGTTTCACTTTTTCATTTGCTATTGTTATTAGTTAAACGTCCTGTGCTTTAATTCACTAGCATTAAGGGGAAATATCACACCACTCATTTGTTAACAGTCCCCATTTAAATCAATAGGGAGCACTGCCTGAAAATCTGTGGTAAAAATATGGCCCAGTGTGCCTGAGCATTTCACTTATGGAAAAGGCACAGTAAAAATAACGTTTATTCTACAAATTTAAAAAATGAATTAAAGTTGTCATCTCTCACTTGGGGTGATTATTTTTAAAGCTAATCCTGAATCTACAACTTTTTCCATATTACAGAGAAACCTATAGCAGCTGAACGGCGACGAGGTCCCAGCCAAGAGATCCCTCTTCCACCCCTACCAACGACAGCCCAAAAGTAAAAGCTACTTTCATTTCCTTTCTTAGAGCTATAGACACTAGACTCACTACTAAGTTTGAACAAAATGATGTGAGAGATTCAGGGGGAAGCATTCTTCCCTTTTAAAGTTCTATTTCTTGAGACTTTTACTTCAGTCTTCAACCTCATGAGGGAACATATACATCACCACATACTCTCTGTTATTGCTTTCTTCCATACACATGTTCAGTTATTCAGACGTAGGTGTTAAGTAGACATCCTCATACCTTTCAATAATCTCTAAATATTTATTTCAGGCCATTATTTCAAAAGCTACCAGCCCTACCAAGTAAGTACAATTTATCTTTTAAGTAAGTCTGGGTTTATTTCAATTGCCACATATATATTCATTGGATTCTGAATATGTTGGTCTCTGTAACACATACAAGAATGAGATTAAAATACTCAGCTGGTTGTATGGTATTAACTTAATTAGTACAATTATGCAAGACCAGTGGGACCTACTGGGAAAGTCAATGGGAGTTGGGCACCTAATTCCCCTTTGTGCCTCTGAAAGTCAAAATCTAAGCCAGTTTGGGCTAAATTCTATAAAATTCCATCTGGCTTCCATACCACGCAAGACCCCCCAAATAGAAAATTTTTCTGGGCTGGTTCAGTTTGCAACTTGGAAGCCAGATGAAGTTTTTATTGAATCCAGCCATTTGTTCTCGCATTACAGAAAAAAAATGTAATACTTTCATTATGACTAATGCTTAAGTTCTGCTGTAAATAATACTTTTAAGAGGCAGTTGGAAATATTTCAGTTTACAGTTTCAAATGTAGGGCAAGATTTCCTATATGCAGTTCATTATTTTTACACAGATAGAAATGTAAATTAGATAAAATGATAATATATACCAGAAAGATTTCAGCATTTCCATTATATAGTTATAAATTATCCAGAGAATTTTAATAGGCTGCAGAATTTAGTTTTATGAAGATATTGGTCACTCTCAAAGTGGGATGGATTTTTCTCCTTATTCCGTTAGCCAACAGAGTTATGACAATCCACAGCATTATTGTTTCCTCCTACTTCTGCCCCCAACAAAATAATAGGAATAGTTACACTGGACACTTACACATGTTACACCTTGTTCTTCCCAGAACCGCCAGACACGGCAAACCGCACAACGGGCACTCTTCCACGCAGCAGCATTTCAGCTAGTTTGGAGACTACAGACCAGGTATGAAATTAGCTCAGGGTAAAAAGAGACACATGAGGAATCATGTGCCGTCAGGCTCTGTTGTAAGAGGAGTCTTACATAGAGACCCCTGGCTGTCTGATCCTATACTTCTTCATACCACCTACTCTCCAAGAAAGCATAATCCTGTGCTGAGGGTGCTTGTGGTCCATTTCCTTCCTTATAACAACAACTTTGGCCCTATCTACAGTGAAATCTTTTGTCATTGTATGAGTCATCTAGTTGCCCAGTTCCAGCCCAAAATAGGTGGAGAACACAGGGTATTAAAGTCATGCTAAACTGTAGAATTATGATTAGATATAGTTATACAAAACCTAGGCAGGAAAAGTTTTCTTGCTCAATGTAAACAGGAACTGAAAAGCAGCTGGGTCAAACTTCTGTTTCAGGTCTTCACTTTGCATCAAACAATCCCATAGCGAGTAAACAGAAAATGCCTTGTTGGTATATTTTGCCCAGTCCTGGGTGCAGATAGATATAGAGTGCACTTAACTGCCCTTTTCCTTTTTGTATTTCATAGCTGAACTCAGCGGCTCACTAGCCTTTCTGAAAGTATGTATCCACATGGTTAGTCCAAAGCAGTGCAAACCGTCTGCAGTTGTGTCAGTGGATAAATAATGAGAGATCCCAGAATACACTAGTAGGAACACACACGCACACCCTTGTGAACCATGCTAGGTAGAGATACTCCAACCTTGTTGGAGCATGAGTCTGCCAGAGATAGTACAACACAGAAGCACAGGAATGCACAAGACAGTCATATTTAAAAACATTCCCCTTTAATGCAGTTTGGTTCGTCAGCAGAGATGGGATCTAAGAGACTAAGTGAGAGGCCACTGGTTGCCCACACCCTTCTCTGTGAAAACTACGATCCTTCCACCTGACAAATAATCTTAGTCCCTCCCTATCAGCCTTGTGCCCTGCTGCTCCCTAAAACAGATTTCCCTTCACTATAAGCCCCTTTTGGAATTAGTGCCAAGTTATCTTTGTGAATAACTGGAAAACTTTTTTTTATTTTGTATTTCAACATAACAGGTTTGAAAAAAAATCTAAGAAAATATGGCTACTTTTATTTCAATATGTCCCCTTCTGTCTCCATTGGGAAGATGGCAGAAGACAAAATGCAGGAAGCAGTCCTGTCTAGTAATCACAAACGAGGTAGAAATAGTTCTGTTGACGGCCTAACAAAGGCTCTATTATTGCAGACCCAGTAACACTAAATGTTCTAAAGGCTGATATGACAAAGATAATACAGCAGCAAGGAACACAAAGAACTTCCAATTGTGGAACAATTTTAACATTCTGTCATAGTGGATATTGTGAAAAATCTTTTTTCATAAAAATAATCCCGCAGACACAAAAGCAAACAGCTTGTAACAATTATATTTGGAGCTTTTAATATAGCAGATATGGGCAAAACCAGAAGACTGACTGACTAAAAGATCAGTTTCACCAGAAAAAGTGAAACATGGCTGATGAAATTAATGATATTTTTTCCAAAATTATAATGTACACTGGTATTGTCATTTGCTGCAGCAAACTGTACAGCACAGGTGCTCTTTGTTTGGTTCATGAAGGCAACACCTTCATTAATTGGTTGACTTTCACTGCACAGCTGGCATGAGCTCTCTGTTCCGCTAGGTGATTCCCAACAGTTTATGTGACAGGAAGAAGGAAGGTTTCAGGGAGAACCTGTATTTGTCTATTCTATATAGGTTCTTATACCACGCTAATCACCATTGTATGAGCGCATTCCAGATTTGCCATTGCTCCCCCTGCTCCATTACAGTTAACATAACAGCTCCAGTCACACTGTATTGTTTGAAGGACTCTTGGACCCCTGGCACTATAAAGAGGAGAGGGGGTTGTTGTTAAAACTTCCTGTGAAAGCAACAACTTTATTGTAATGCAATTATGATGATGTATGAAAATAAAGTGACATACTCCTCCCCTCAAGAAAACGTGACATCATATGTACACTCATGGAACCCAGAAATGATTAAGGTTAAATTTAAAATGGAGACAGGGTATATTCTAGCAAATTCTGTAAAGATATTAATAGTCTTATGAGGAGGTTGTATGCATGACACCTGCAGAACAGCACTAACTATACAGTGATCATTTACTACGACAATTCCAGCTATTCGCAGTAATAATTGCTAACTTAGCAGCCACTTGACATACAACCTATAAACTCACAAGTCTGCATACACACCCTTAAAGGGAAAAGGCCCCGACCATTCTCCCACTTTATTTTTTTATGAAAATCCAATAGGAAGGAATAAAAAAAACCCTCTTGGGATTGTGTGATGGGAGAGCTACAGGAAGTATAGTGAAAATGTTAAGATTTGCTAGGCTTACCTGCACCTTCCCTTACTTCATTCTGAACAACTCCATATGCCTAACATTGAATGCTTTCAGAGCCAGTGGCAATCTGGAGTCCAGTAAATCATTACAAGCTTATATCCAGATTCTGTCATCCCATATTTCATTTTTGATTCCGCTCACACATGCAACTGATGTCTTGCAAATATACTTGCACTCCTGCATTAACCTTTTATGGTGCCCATGGTAATGGCATTTATATCAAAATGATGGATGCATTATAAGAAGTTAGATGGATTGGAATGATCATCTATAAAGAAAGGCAGCCAATAATAATGGTTACTTCCGGGGGAGAGAGAAATGACTATTTTAGACGACATATTTGGAGGCAGAAATTCCCAGCCAACAGTTAGTACAAGCAACCCTTAAAGAGAATAACTCATTATCAAAAGGAGGCTTCACTCTGGAAACACCCTACCACAAAGAATTGAGTAACAATCTCTCCTTTTAAAAAGAGAGAGAGAGAGAGAGAATAAAGATTCACTTCCCCAAAATCAGGAGCAGTTAGGGAGAAAGTATTTTGACTGTAGTATTTAGGCCAGCCCTCTTTCTTTCTTTTCTTCCAGGGACATGTGGGGGAAGGTCAAAGATAGCAGAGAAGTGCTGAGAGTCAAGGATGTGCTGAGCTCTCTCTTTCAGTCTATGTACTAGCTCTATAACAAACTTTAGCTCACTTCAACCATACTTTGACTGTAAGCTCCCGTATATATGAAGAGGCCCTGTTTTATTCCTGTTGTCTTTGCTGCTACACCTTAGTACCCTGATCCAGTCCTTTACAGACAGAGGCTGCCTTGAAGGATTCAGATCTTTTCAGAGGTCCTAGTTTTAGTTTGTTTTACTTTTTACCTGGTTTTAATTAAATGATTGAAACCTTTAATGCCAATGCTATTCAGACCCATACAGTCTGGGGTTACTGAAATCCTGGTTATTTCCCCCACTCATGACTCTTCCCTTGGGACAGTACTCCTTTGTTTAATAAAATGCATGTTTCTAGTGAAGGGTCAGTGGGTCTGGTGGACCTTTGCATCCCAGTCCAGCTGTGTGTGTGTGTGTGTGTGTGTTATGCACAGCAGATCATCATATGATAAAATAAAATAAAGCACATTTTTAAAACATTACAATAATTCCCCTTCCTGCACAATAAGTACCACTGTTCCCTAACTGCACGAGTAAATGTAATCTCCCCTCTAAATTACAGGAAAATAAATCTGAGCAAAAATATGTGCTTCCAGATATGCAATTAGGGTAATTTTTTCTAAAGCACCTGAGTGACTTAGGAGCCTAGATGACCAAGTAATTTTGGAAAATGGAAATCCGATTATTTTGAAATTTTTACCCTTACCATTTTTCTATTCAGAAGATCCCAACTTTTAATGATAACACACTGCCCTTATAAACTGAGGTTTCAAACCATTTCACAGATATTAATTAAGTAAACCTCACAACACTCCAGGAATTAGAAATGTATTGTACCCATTTATAGCTGGGAGAACTAATGCACCAGAGAGGTTTAATGACTTGCCTAAGATTACATGGCCAAGTCAATGGCAGTTCCAGGGCCTTACCCTAGGAACTGTGATTCCTGCGGAAGGATTCTTTCAATAAATAATCAAAAGCTATCAGTACTCACCGGGGAGGGCAGCTTGTTCAATACACAGTCCTGCTGTGTGAGAAATGTTTGGAGGTATAAGAGCAGCCATCACTCCTAGCATCTAGGAGTATCCACTGGATGACAGAATCCAACTGGAGTGGAAGAAAAGAAATGGGGAGTGTGTAGTTTGCAGGATGCTTTTATAACCAGTTTTGAAAACATTGTCAGTTTGGAGGAGAATGTCCATCCTCAGATTTAGTACAAATAGAATTAATGGCTGCTGCTTTGAGGAGCATGGGAAATTGATAGAGCAAAGGGCAGATGAGAATAAAGTTTCCACCCCTATAAGCTAAATTTACTGTTACCTCTTTTTGACTGAGCATCTAGTGAAAAGATGGGTCCCTGCAGATTGTTTCAGCTGGGAGGAGAAACTGAAGTTGGAGTCTGGTATCTTTGATGTAATCTTATTTACAGAAAATATACAAAATTCTATTTCCCCAAACATGGGAGGAATCCCATAACAGGAGATAGTGTCCTCACTCACAGCACTAAAAACTTTCTCTCTAGGTTTTTGCAGGGTAATGCTCCCAGGTGCTTGCTCAGGCTGTCTCTGTCTCACTCACTCTCTGTCCTGCTTCTCTATTCACTCATTCGCTCTCTGTCTCTCCCCCCACCTCTCTGGTTACATCTACATTACAAGCTAGGGGTGTGATTCCCAGCTTGCATACACATACTCTCAGAAGCTATCATCGAGCTAACACACGTATAAATGGCAGTGTATCTGCAATAGCACATGTCAAGTACAAACCTATCTGAACCCCATGGGTATGTGCTTGGCATGGCTAAGCTTTGCCCCTGCTGCAGCCCGTGCTACCGCAGCTCCACTACTATTTATACTTTTGCTCAGTCTCATTGAGCTAGTGAGTATGTTACATGAGCTGGGATGCACACACCTAGTTCATAGTGAGACATAGCCTTACACACCCACATCCAAAGACAATAACCTATGGAGCCTGCTACCCACATGGTCAAAATGACTGAGCAGGTTCATATACCCTTGGTCTTAGGGCATATCTACACTTACAAAATTAAGTTGACCTAATTTATGTCAGCATATAGGTGCCGCACTAATCACATCACTTGTGTGTGTCTACCCTTTGCTTCTAGTGTCAGCAGTGCGCATCCTCACCAGGAACACTTGTACTGTCAGCATGAGGCATTGTCAGATAGCTTCTGAAAGCCAGTAACAGTCAGTCAATGTAACCAATGCAGTAGCTATACGGATACTGCCTCAACCTAATTACATCGACATTGATTCTATGCCCCTACTGGAGGTGGAGTCAAGTTATTAAGTCAGCATAGCAGAGCAGTTACATCAGTGGGAGTGAAAATTTAGTGTAGACACTTGCCAGGCAGCTTACTTCAACCTAACTATGTGTTGACCTAACTCTTAGTGTAGACCAGACATCATGTTGGGCTGCCTAGCTGTCTCTCTCACCTATCTTAAATGAGGGGTGGAGGTCACTACAGTTTAAATGGGGTTTAACCCAACACACAATGATATATTCAGAACTGAGAACAACCTTAGGTAGGGTGGAGTCACCATATTATACAACTTGCTTGGTTTGGATAGTGTAAAAGAAACCTGGCATCCTGTGGACAACACCCACTACAACACACAAAAGTATATGCTAAATCAATCAGCAGAAAATAACATTTAATTATAAATAGTGAAAATGACTCAAGTCTCTTTCTTAGTTGTCCTCTTTCCACTGGACCAGTCTTCTGCCGTACAAGTGCCAACTATCCTCCATCTCCACATGGATACCTCTCCTTAAGATCTCCTCTCTTAGCATTCACTGACTGGTTTCAACTCATCCTTCATTTGAACTGAATCTGTCCAGTTAAGACTGAGCTCTTGACAGAGGCCTGTCTTAACTATGTGTTTTCTAAAGTGCTCTGCACACTTATGGTTCTCTATAATCATCATCATTTGGCAATGGATACACTACAATATGTGTTCATCTTTTACTACCCCTATCTTATAGCTGTGAAGTACACAATATCCAGTGAAAAAACTATCATTATATTTTGCTGTAAGTTACAGAAGAAAACCAGGGCTTTTCCACTGCATTGACAAAGGTCTCCATCTTTCTCACAGGATGCTGGTGTTCATGATAAAGCATGGTATGCAGCTTATTGTGATCGAAAAACTGCAGAAGATGCATTACACAAATCAAATAAGGTAAAGCAGGGAGTTAACATTTGCGCTATGCCTCTTTTAAGAACATTTTAGACATGTGGAATGGGGAATACAACTTGAATTGTTCCCAGACAGTTTGGGCCCCACCCTGAACAGGTTACAGTAGTGTTGGCTGAAGTGTGTCTACACAATTCAGATTTCAGTGAAATGGTGGTCTCTAAAGTCAATTAAAGTTGTACCTGTGTAACTCAGTACAGATTTTTGGCCCACTGGAGGTAATAGTTTATTGTAGCAGCCAGAGATGGAAAAAACCTATTAACTCAAATATATCCCTACCAGGGCAAGAAACAGGCCACAGATACTAAACAAGCTCCAGCACTGCCCACTGTCTCATACTCAAATGCTGATATCTGTAAAAATTGGTCCTACCACTTTATTTCAAAATGATAACGTAACACACACACCCCTGAGCCCTCTGACCTGGGCTTTAGACTTTGTCTGAACTTCCTGACTGAGACTAGATCAGCCTGCAGAAAACTCTAATGCCACAGGGAGCATCACACTTAGGGCAGCACCCTATGTGCCGGGCAAAGGCCCAGGCTTTCTTTCCCCCAACAAACATTTCTTTTTTATGGCTCCACCACGTGGGATAGAGGGACAAAAGAGTGGGGTAATCTTTAGGATAGGAAATCACTGGCTAGGAAGCATTAGGGTAACCCCAACAGCGGCTCTCACTGTTTGTTTGCTGCTTCTGTAAAGCTGTTGAGAGCATGTCATCTGCTCAGGTTCTCTCTCCTTCCTGCCACTGGTGGAAGCTTGTACAGTCTTCACTTCCTAATGTCCTGTTATCCCCAGGAAGCTGTTACTGCCTGCTCATTTCTTCCTATCCTTTCTCTAGCTGAGAGGGAAAATGCAGCCGCAGCCATTGGGACTTGGGACAGCAGAGGATGCTGCTAAAATGACACCTGTATAAGCTAATATTGGAGGGGAAGTGCCCCCATTTCTCCCAGTGAATTTTTTCCATCAATGATATTAAAGGAGGAAAGGATTTGATGTTAATATTGATACATCCTCAATGATTGCAACAAATTAAACTAATAAAATATTATTGCATTTCCTTTTCTTGATATAGGATGGATCTTTTCTGATAAGGAAGAGTTCTGGTCAGGATTCAAAGCAGCCGTACACACTAGTTGTGTTTTACAACAAAAAAGTGTATAATATTCCTGTACGATTTATTGAATCAACTAAACGATATGCACTGGGCAGAGAAAAAACTGGCGAGGAGGTGAGTGATTTTTCCTTTTTCAGTTTTATGCCCTAATAAGTAAAAATGATGGGGTCTATTTTAATTACATTGTTAGGGAGTAAATCTTCATTCACCAAGATAAAAATATACCTCATCAAATAATTGATTTATCCTTCAGACTGAAAAATCTAACAAAACAAATATAAAATAAGGTACTTTAAATCAGTGGCTCTCAACCTTCCAGACTACCATATCCCTTTCAGGAGTCTGATTTGTCCTGTGTACCTCCTAAATTTCACCTCACTTAAAAACTACTTACTTACACAATCAGACGACATCCAAATTCAAAAGTGTTACAGCACACTATTACTGAAAAAAATTGCTTGCTTTCTCATTTTTACCATATAATTATAAAATAAATCAACTGGAACATAGTGTACTTACATTTCAGTGTATAGTATATAAAGCAGTAGAAACAAGTCATTGTCTGTCAGAAATTTTAGTTAGTACTGACTTTGCTAGTGCTTTTTATGTAGCCTGTTGTAAAACTAGGCAAATATCCAGATGAGTTGATATACCCACTGGAAGACCTCTGTGTACCCCCAGGGGTACATGTACCCCTGATTGAGAACCACTGCTTTATATCCACCTCAGAAGTGTAACTTAGGTTACTGCAAATTGGAACTTTAAAGTCACAGATTAGTTTAAAATATACAAATATTTTTTATCATATCATGTCATCAGGATCGGACCTTCAGTTACTAAGTGTAAATTTTCCATACTTTCTTGAAAGCAAATCTTCTAACCATCCTTCATGCAACAGCTCCCATTGAACTCAATGGGATGTTTGAAAAAAGAACAGTTACATTTAAATACTTAGGGATAAAATTAGTCAGAACCACTCCCTGTCTCCCCACCACTTATCAAGAAAGAGTTGATATCTTGGGTTGCATTTGCACAAATGTTAAAACTCTTCTGGAGTGTAATCATAGAACTGGAAGGGACCTTGAGAGGTCATCTAGTCCAGTCCCCTGCACTCGTGACAGGACTAATTATCTAGACCATCCCTGACAGGTGTTTGTCTAACCTGCTCTTAAAAATCTCCAATTTCCACAACCTCCCTAGGCAAGTATTCCAATGCTTATCCACCCTGACAATAAGGACTTTTTTCTTAATATCCAACCTAAACCTCCCTTGCTGCAATTTAAGCCCATTGCTTCTTGTCCTATCCTCAGAGGTTAAAAAAAATAGTTTTTCCTTCCTCCTTCTTGTAACAACCTATTACATACTTGAAAAGTGTTATGTCCCCTCTCAGTCTTCTCTTTTCCAGACTAAACAAACCCCATTTTTCAATCTTCCCTCATAGGTCATGTTTTCTAGACCTTTAATCATTTTGTGCTCTTCTCTGGACTCTATCCAATTTGTCCACATCCTTCCTGAAATGTGGTGCCCAGAACTGGACACAATGCTCCAGTTGAGGCATAATCAGCATGGAGCAGAGTGGAAGAATTACTTTTCATGTCTTGCTTACAACACCCCTGCGGGAGGGGGTGAGAGCTCTGGCTGCGGGTTCAGGAGTAGGGCCAGAAATGAGGAGTTCGGGGTACGGGAGGGGGTTCTGGGCTGAGGCAGTGTGCAGTGGGATGCAGGCTCCAGCTGGGGGTGCAGGCTCTGGGGTGGGGCTGGGGATGAGGTGTTTGGGATATAGGAAGGTGCTCCGGGCTGGGACAGAGGGGTTCAGAGAGTGGGAGGGGGATCAGGGCTGGGGCATGGAGTGGAAGGGGCGAGGGCTCCGGCTGGGGGTGCAGGACTCCAGGCTGGGACTGAGGGGTTCGGAGGGCAGGAGGTTGGGATATGGGGGGGTGGCTCAGGGGTGTAGGCTCGGGGCAACGCTTACCTCAAGTAGCTCCCAGGAGCAGCAGCATGTCCCCCCTCTGGTTCCTACGCGGAGGTATGGCCAGACAGCTCTGCTGTGCGCTGTCCCATCCGCAGATGCCGCCCCTGCAGATCCCATTGGCCATGGTTCCCGGCCAATGGGAGCTGCAGGGGCAGTGCTTGGGGCAGGGTCAGCATGCGGAGCGGAGCCTCCTGGCTGCCCCTATGCGTAGGAGCCAGAGGATGGATATGCTGCTGCTTCTGGGAGCCACGCGGAGTGGCTCCCAATCCTGCTCCCTGGCTGGAGTGACGGAGCAGGGCGAGCCCCAGACCTCATTCCCCAGCAGGAGCTCGAGGGCCGGATTAAAACAGCTGGTGGGCTGGATGTGGCCCATTGTTTGCCCACCCCTGTGCTAATACATCCCAGAATGATGTTCGCTTTTTTTTGCGACAGCGTTACATTGTTGACTCATATTTAGCTTGTGGTCCACTATGACCCGCAGATCCCTTTCTGCAGTACTCCTTCCTAGGCAGTCATTTCCCATTTTGTATGTGTGCAACTGATTGTTCCTTCCTAAATGGAATACTTTGCATTTGTCCTTATTGAATTTAATCCTATTTACTTCAGACCATTTCTCCGGTTTGTCCAGATCATTCTGAATTTTAATCCTATCCTCCAAAGCACTTCCAACCCCTCCCAGCTTGGTATCATCTGCAAACTTTATAAATGTACTCTGTATGCCACTACCTAAATAATTGATGAAGATACTGAACAGAACCAGACCCAGACCTGATCCCTGTGGGACCCCACTGTGTCAACGTTATGCTATTTCTAAAGCAGTGTGGAGATTTGGAGGCTCAAATACCATTGCCAATTGGACATTGTCACAGGGTAAAAGGGCCTTTTGAGGGAATGAGGCTTAGCCCCACCTGAGCTTCATTATCTGCCTCCCAGGGGATGGTTTCAGGGCAGAGATGAGGCAATAGCCTGAAGACCACCTGTTCTTCAGATAAAAGGCCAGCAAGGAGGTCAGGGAGACCTATGGGAGACCCTAAATCAGGGGAAAGGGGCCAACCAGCAACACCTGCTTTATGTGTTTGATTTATGTTGGTCTGTTGCTTTTGAGAAATAAACCAACCTTCGAAAAAAGGGAATGAAATTTTACTACTGTTTGGAGCTTTATTTGACACACTGGCTAGTGAGTTGGCTCCTGCCACCAGCTTCCAGATCACCTAGATCACCACCTTTGAATACCTCAGCCTTAGTGGCCTGTCCCAAAACCTTCTTCCTAAAATGAGCTATAGGAGAACCAACTATTCCATGATTGGTGCAAATATCTCACCAAAACATAAATATCAATACCACATATTTGTTCTAATTTGTCTATCCTACTGCCTTCTTCTACTGTTAGAGGATACAAAGTACACAGTGAAGGCAACATATTTAGTCACAGGGGGAAGGGACACACACCTATTTGATTACATGATCTCAGAAGATCCTGTAGTTCCAAAGATGATGGTGGCACAGAGAAAGAGAAGATGAGGTAGTGATTCTTGTGATTTTCATTTTGTTAGAAGTCTCATCGATTACTTGGCTAACTGATTTCTGTTTTCTCAATCCAGCGCTTCACAAGTGTTGCTGAAATAATAGAGAATCATCAGCATACACCCCTTGTTTTAATCGACAACCACAACAACACAAAAGATTCCACCAAACTGAAACATATTGTTAGAGTTTCATAATTACACTGAACTGTAACAAGATCAAGATTTTTATATGTATTTTTCCAACTTCCCAAAGTTTCTGGATCAAGTATCTTAAACAAAAAAAAAAAGTTTAAAAAAACACCCTAAGGATACTCACTAGAAGAATATTATTTGAAAACTTCCACTTAACCATAAGAAATGCAGATCAGAAGAACTTCAAGTCTACACCATTTTATCAGAAAATCTGAAGGAGTTTATTTTAATGCCGTTACCAAATAAGGTAGAAGTTATTTGTTTGTGGCTTCACCAGTCCTAATGTGGTAATTCCAAACTCATGCCAATAAAAGCTATACACCACAGCCCTTTCATCTATTGTTCTCTATTTTAAAGATGCATTTTCTGTAGAACATTCTCAATTCAGAAGTGAAGGAAATAAATACCCACTTAGTGAAATATGCCTATTCAATATGTTCAAAGAACTAAATCTACTACAGATTGCTGTTTTCAATAAAATAATTCCTTTGCAAGATCCAGAGCTCTTGAAAGTAGAATGACTATAACTAAGAAATGGACCACTGTGTGCAACCAGCCAAGGATAGTATTTTGCACCATGTCTGGCTATACTCCAACTGTTTGATTCATGAGGTTTTTTTGGTTGTATTTTTAATGTGCAAATAAAATGTAAAAATACTGTAAAATGAACAATGTACAGTATTATTACTGGTTAACATTTACAGTTGTGCTTCTAACTGCTGTCAGAGTACTTTATTATAACTTGTGTTTATTTTAGTGTGACTATTATCTTTGCATGAGCTGCTTCACACATTCTATCGTTACAACAAATATCAATGTACAGTTTGCTCATATGCCTGTATTTTTTCTCCCATGTATATTTTTGGCTAGACAGTTTTCTTAAATGCCTGTCTGCAAATTGTTACCTGTAGGACTTAGAGCTTAATGTGGAACACCAGATTCCTTCAATGCTAAATATTACTTAAACACTACATTCTTGGGCAATCAAGAGGGAACTTGAGGCAGGATGACTACAGCGCCATGCTACAGGCTGGCATGTTCCAGGATCACCACCTGTACAATTCCAGCATCTGCCACTAGTAGATACAAGAGACAAAGTCGGTGAGGTAATATCTTTTATTGGACCAACTTCTTTAGGTGAAAGGTACAAGCTTCCAATCTACACAGAGCTCTTCTTCAGGTCTGGAAAAGAATCAGTGTCCCAGCTAAATACAAGGTGGGACAGATTATTTTTAGTGTAAGGGATAAACAGCTGTTGCAGAAGATCCTGGAAGATGAAGTGGGCAATTAACACCTCTGCAGTCATAGGATAAAGAAGGTTTAGTGGGTAACAGATTATTGTAATGAATCATAAAAATCAGTCTCTCTGTTGAGTCCATGATTTTTAGAATCTAGCCAAGTTATGAGTCAAGCTCCCAGTCATGACATGACTAGTAGATATGTCAGCTGTTTTCATCAGATACCAAGTCTAGTGGGTTCTAAATATATTTTAAGTTGTTTTTAGTCTGACATCTGAGGACATAGTAATTATTTGTTCAGATATCTTCCATATTACAATGCAATACAAAAAAAGTACTCCAGTTGACTTTAAGAATAATTAATGCATAGATAAATGTAGAATCAGTGAACAATAATTTTAGGGCTAAAAGTAAGGCTTAATTTTAAGGAAGACAAATGTAGTACTCAACCTGCTTTTAGTTCCACAGCTCAGGGAGGATGCAAAACCATCTCACTTACTTATTCATATTAACGTGCAAGAATTAGAGTACTTGATATCTGTCTGATACTAAAATTGCAGCATAAATGACCAAGTAGTATAATTAATTCCTGCCCATACTGTTCTTTGAAAGACATGGGAGCTCACATTCTCAAAATCCAAAAGCTGAGACAAAACTACATTCCTTTCTCTCTCTAAAACCACCCCTAGTAGGCAAGTTGTAAAAAGACAGAAAAACCAGGTGCTGATGTCACAACAGCTCTGGAACAAACCAATATCAAAACGTGTTACAGAAGTTGTTTGTTCTACTTTGAAATTATTGGAGAAATTATGTATTGCTATTGTAACAAAGAATACACAATGGGCCAAATTCTAAGCCCACGAAGGTCACTTTGCACATCTGGAATGGCAGGAGCACAGCGCTGTTAAGATTTTAGCCCAAAGCATTTAGTTATTCCCCAGATTTTCCTAACAGGAGAAATGCTAACCTCATACCTGTAAACAGTTACCATCCACTCCCAATAAGCATGCAAAGATTTTAATGTCTGTCTCTCTATATACATATACCCACTATATACAAATTACATTACAGGAATGTTAAAGTTACTAAGCACTCAGACGTTCGGAAATGTCAACATTAGGATCCCTGTGCAACCTTAATTTGGCATACTTATGCACATGCATTATGATATAGTCTTTAATTACATGATCAACTACTATTTTTCCACGCAACCCCTACTTCATTCAGTACATAGGATGGTGTGTGCTCACTTGAGTAGCTATTCAATAGTTTGTTTTCTATATATGGCCCCATACCTTATTTATTGCATAATATTGAAACCTGCTCTGAAAAGATAATTATTTCCTCACGGGCTTTTCTATGATGCTCATCACTATAGTATCTGATTGTTGTGAAAATAAATGTGAATGCCTCTTGTGTATTCAAAGTGAGCAGTGGTATTATCCCCATTTTGCAGATGGGGAACAGAGACAAAGAGATTAAGGTCAAAAGCCTCCAATAATTTTTGGTGCCCAATGTGCAACACCTAGGACCTTATTTTTTAAATATTTATAGCACTTTATATGTTCAAAGCACACTCCCCCAATTATAGTTCCTACTGTGAGTGCTTAGCACTTCTGTAACTCAGACTCCAGGTTATCAAGTCAGATACTCAGAAAACGGTGAACACACAAATAGTGACCACCTGTGAAAATCTGGTTTAAGTGACTTGCCCATCATCACAGAGGAACTCTATGGCAGAGGCAGGGATAGAATCCAGTTCTCCAGAACAGCACTGAACTGTCTTAACCATGAGACTGTCTTTTCTCTTCTTGCAATCTTCTACCTCATTCACTACACACCTTCCAAGTTCTGCAACAAATGATACTGGTCCTACAAACAACAGCCTCCTTTACTACACAACACTGATTACCCCTAGAGAACTGTACCTCTAACCCACCGAATGAAAATGGGGTCCTGTGGGGGGGGAAAGAAATAGTATGTGCTCATGTAATTAAAGACTTATCATAATACATATGCAAGCACCAGGGGGGCAAATTAAGGTTGCAGAGGTAACCTTAATTCAGGCATTTTCCAACTTTTAAGTGCTTGACTTTGCAACTTTATTCATGTTCTTTTAACATAGTTTTTAGGTAATATCCTAGGTTTTTAAGAATGCAAATTGGAAAAAAGAATTCTATCATGTGGCATCATATTGGCACCTACATGACTCAAAAGGATTGAAACTTTTAGATCCACAACACAGAACTCTGCCTTCAAGTTAACAGAGTAAATGATAGCAGCAGTAGGTTGCCATCCTCAATATGGACCAGCCACTAGAAGGGAAGACACTTTGCCAGTGCATTTCCACAGATTTTTGCGACAGCAGAGAAATGATTGGAATCTTGAGTTCAATTCCAGGTTCTGGAAGGGAGTGTGCTCTAATTATAGACACAGACCATTCAACCCCTGTTCCTTCCTCCTCCAAAAAAAAATACACTGATCTCTTCTGCTCCTGTCCCAGGCCCATCTTTGCCCAGCCAGCCTCCTCATCCTAGTCCCAGTCTTCTCAGACATGCTCCCCAAGTACCAATTTTCCTTCCACCCCAGCTCAGTCCCAGTATCCCCACCCATTTCCTTGTGCAGCCAGTCCCAGACTCCAGGGCTCTCATCCAACTTCAGTCTTCCTCCTCCACTTGTTCTCATTTTCCACTGTCCCCATTTCCCCTCCCCGTGCTCCTTGTCCCATTCTACCCCCACAGTTGCTGCCAGCCTGGTTCTTGTCGCCACTGCAATCAAATGAGACCGTTGCTCTTTCACACTGCCTAGGCACCAGCAGAAATTCCACTCTTCTGTTCATTCCCTCTGAAGCATCTGGCACCGGTCATTGTCTGAAGACAGGATACTGGACTAGGTGGACCATTCTTATGTTCTAATTTAGAGCACAGTGAGAATCTCCCAACTCTCAGTTCCTGTGCCTGGTACCACAACTGCCCGCAGCAACCTGCATGGAAACTGCTCAGTCCCTGGACTCCAGGCTGGAGCATACTCAGTGGAGACAAAAATCTTTAATTTTGTTGCTCAGCTTCCAGTATCTATGCAACATGTATGACTAAAGATCTTAAAATTTGGCCAAATTTGGGTAGTGTGACAGGGTCAGGCCAGATGGCTATAGGAAAGTAATAGAAGGCAGATATATAAGCCCCAGGCTAAGTAGGTCCCTTTTCCCTGGGTAAGGTAACAGGGAATGTTCCAGAACAATCAGGAACCTTCTGGAGACAATTAAGACAGGCTGATTAGAACACCTGCAGCCAATCAAGAAGCTGCTAGAATCAATTAAGGCAAGCTCATCAGGGCACCTGGGTTTTAAAAAGGAGCTCGCTTCAGTTTGTGGTGTGCGTGTGAGGAGCCGAGAGTGAGAACGTGGACTGTTGGAGGACTGAGGTGTACAAGCATTATCAGACACCAGGAGGAAGGTCCTATGGTGAGGATAAAGAAGGTATTGGGAGGAGGCCATGGGGAAGTAGCCCAGGGAGTTGTAGCTGTCACACAGCTGTTCCAGGAGGCACTCTAGACAGCTGCATTCCACAGGGCCCTGGGCTGGAACCCGGAGTAGAGGGCGGGCCCAGGTTTCCTCCAAATCCTCCCAACTCCTGGTCAGACACAGGAGGAGTCAACCTGGACTGTGAATTCAGAAAAACGGCCAAGCTGAGGGCTGCCGTGAAGCTCCAAGGTGAGAAAATCCACCATTAAGCGCAAGACCCACCAAGGTAGAGCAGGAACTTTGTCACAGTAGTTTTTCACAAGAGGAGAAAAGGGCACATTTGACACAAAGATCATGCCATGCCTCTGCCAAATTTCAAATCCCTGCGTCCACACATAGAGGCAATAGAGCACAACTAAACTATTTTCCCCAAATCTTGTTCTTGGAAATGGCTGAACCATGGCTGGAACTTTCAAGAACAACCTGAAGCAGAACACCAGCATGCAAAATTTCATCCCAAACAGTTAAAAGTTTGGCAAAATAATAAGCAACTGAAAACAAGGTCTTATGACGGGAAATGTTGCCTGCTGTTAAGGTTGCCTGACACTACCAACTGCATCTATAATATAAAATGTTAATAAAAAGATTCTGGTGTGTGGTCTATTTATATGATCTTTACTTTGATATTAACAACAAATTCTAAAGTGTTTCCATATAAACCAATGTTTTTTTAATCAATGAAATTTGGTAACTGTGTGGCTGCACCCCTTGCCAGTAATTTTCAGAAAGATATTTACAAATGCATTTTATGTACCAGTGAAGTACCTCTTAACAAAGATGCATGCTGAATGCTTTAACTCTGAAGAAGCTATCAGCCACAGAATACCTATGAAAAATGTATACAGACAGTATGTGTGTATATAGAGTTCCCCAAAAAATTAAGACTGTTACAATATTACAACACTCAATCA